GGTCACGACGAGAGAGAGAGGACTTCAGCAGAGAGAGAGAGAGAGTTCGTGTCGTTTGTCTGTTCCTCCTCCCCTGTTTAAGGAGTTCAGACTACAGGGCTTTACTATATGGTCAATGGTGGGTTGCATGGCCACAGTCACACTCCTGTGACTTGTCTTTCATGCATCTCTTATGTATCTCTGTCTCTCTCGATGGGTTTACCGTATGATTCTTTGGGACTACATGGCCCCAGTCACCTTCTCCATTCGTGAAGCAAACCGAGCACAGGCATCTCAGGAGCCCAGGTCTGGGGACGGTGGTCTCACAAAGTGAACGTTGCGGTGACGATCACGCGGGATATAAGACTCGCATGAGATTCACTCCGTTCGCAGGGACCAATATCTCTGCATATTGTTTCCTCGGGGGAATGAATACTCGTTGCTGGGGCAACAGGCACCCAGGCGGGAGGCACACGGAACAATGCGATACCGGAACCCGTGCGACTTAAAGCTTTCGTGACTGCAGGAATTAATATTATTGGGTCTTTCGGTAAAGTCACGTAGATTCAAAGAAAATAACAAAGAAATAACAAAAAACTACGACGTTTCGATCGCAACACAAGCGGTCGTCTTCAGGAAAAAAAGAGGACCGCTTGTGTTGCGATGGAAACGTCGTCGGTTTTTTGTTTGTTATTTTCTTTGAACCTATCTACGTGACTTTACCGATGGACCCAAGAATACGGAACCCGCGTGTTTTATCATTGCCCGGAACGTTAAAAAAAACAGAAGCTAGCAAAGGGTGGGAGGCGTCTTGGGATGCAGAGTTGGCGGATCGGGCAAAGATAGTGGTATCGTGTGAGGGACTGTTCTTGCTCGTATGTGTGTTGAACTTCTTTCGCACCATACGGAGCCAACCGTGCTCATCGGAGGTGTAGGGGGAGGACAACTAAACATAAAAAGCACTTCTAAAGAAATTGGTCTCTGTGAGTCTATGGGTCTCCGTGCGAGTCTACGGATCTGTGTGAATCTATGGGTCTCTGTGTAAGTCTATGGGTCTCTGTGTCAGTCGATGCGCCTGTGAGTCTTCGGGTCTCCGTGTGAGTCTGTGGGTCTCTGTCTGAGTCTATATATGTATGTTGAACTTCCTTCGCACCGTACGTAGCCAACCGTGCTAATTGGAGGTGCAGGGTGATGAACAATCAATGGAGGAGGGATTGGAGGGGTGTTTGTGAATGGCACAGCCCGCGTCACTGTGTGTGCGTCATTATCAGAATAAATATACTGGAGGAATCCGATGAGCTATGAAGCTCATCTTTCACAGATGCCCAGTAGGGGCACGGGGTAAGAAAATGGAGGCGTCGCGTGAGACTGGCACAGACAGCGGGTCTCACAGCCTCGCCCGCGCGCGATGGTTTCTCCGGGAACTTCGCTGTTCCACGTGTAAACAACAACAACTGCCACTAAGTGGCGGTGACGTCACCACGACGCTTGTGCCAGGCTATGTGAACGTTGAGGCCACGTGAAGTGTCGAACGCCCGTTGGCAGGTCACGGGGCAGACCCAGCAGGTGCCGTGGGTCGACTGACTGAGATGACTGAGATGAGCGGCTGATGCACCACCTGTGCCCCCTACCTTGGCAACGTGTCAACACGCACACGCCAGAGAGAGATGATTGGACGATCACCCCCACGATAACGAGTGCCGAAACTGTCGAGGTCCTCACAGGCCTGTGAATAAATAAATATACTCAACCGGGATGACTATTAAGACTAAACATTAAACATTAAACTAAATATATATTAAAACTATATATTATGTATTAAAACTATATATTATATTAAAACTATGTATATTTTAATATATATCTAATTAAATATATATTAATGTACTCTACCGGGATGACTATTAAAAATATATTAAAACTATATATAATATATAATAAATATAATATTTATATACATTATATACTAAATATATATTTTTAAATTGATATATATTAAAACTATTCAAACGAAAAAAATCAATATACTCTACCAGGATGACTATTAAAAGTACTTTTATTTACTATTTTTGTTTAGCAGGTAAGGCCCCACCACAAATGATGACGCTGGCTATCACAAATGATGACGCTGGCTATCACAAATGATGACGCTGGCTATCACAAATGATGACGCTGGCTATCACAAATGATGACGCTGGCTATCACAAATGATGACGCTGGCTATCACAAATGATGTCGCTGGCCATCACAAATGATGACGCTGGCCGTCACAAATGATGACGCTGGCTATCACAAATGATGACGCTGGCCATCACAAAAGATGACGCTGGCTATCACAAATGATGACGCTGGCCATCACAAATGATGTCGCTGGCCATCACAAATGATGACGCTGGCCTTCACAGATGATGTCTCAACAAAAGTGGCGACTCATCATCATCCCGTGGAAATGTCTCGCAGCAGCCAAACGACTCTAAACGCGTGACGTTGATTCTACGGAAGGGAAAAACCGGAGGACCCGGAGAAAACTCCACGCGACCACGGGCAGAGAGGGACACACACCAACTCCAACTATACAGCAGCAGCAGGCGTCAGGGTCGGGATCGAACCCACGACCTCCTGCATACCGGGCGAGGTAGTCAACATCTCCTGGCCACCGTGATGATGATGAGAGAGACACACACCAACTCCAAATATACAGCAGCAGCAGCAGGCGTCAGGGTCGGGATCGAACCCACGACCTCCTGCATACCGGGCGAGGTAGTCAACATCTCCTGGCCACCGTGGCGTAAGGGCAGCAGTCATCGGCACCTGCTGTGAAAGCGTGGCCAGGACCCTCCTGAAAAAGGGGCTCTTCTAGGAGAACGAGCGGAATACTAATCATAACTCTGGGACCCTTTTTTTCTTCACTACCGCTATCAAGGTGACGAAATAATAATGTGCTTCATTACCCATTCCCGCAAGAATACAGGGGGCGTTAAGACGTGCGAACGCCAAAACAGACGCACTCATTGCAAGGGAACGAGTCTGCGTTAACCGCACACACACACGCACGCACATCACGCTCGAACGATAAACCGCACGCGCGCTCTCCTTGAAACCGACCGGCCTACAACAATGCACGCGTTTACCAAAGAGTGGTTGCTTGCCGGTATTTATGTATGCATGCATGTTTTGCCACGAGCATGTGTGGTCAATGCACACTTGATGCCGTGTAAACGGTGTCTCTTTGGTGTTTGAACATCTTGCCGGGAAAGGGTGAAGCTCATTCGGTTTTTTTTTTCATCAAGCGGAATAATAAAAACGATGAAAGTGATCATTCTCCCAGCATTCTTTTTTACAAAAAGAGTCACGCGCAACGACAGCGGGAACCTCGCTCCCGCGGGGAGATCGACCTCGGCGGACGAAGAGGAACGTGGAGATTCAGCTTCGTGGCGGTGTACAATTGGCGATCTCACTGCAGCGGTGCTAAAGCGTTGTGGCTGAAGCGGTGTGGCTGAAGTGTTGTGGCTGAAGCGTTGTGGCTGAAGCGTTGGGCTGAAGTGTTGTGGCTGAAGTGTTGTGGCTGAAGCGTTGGGCTGAAGCGTTGTGGCTGAAGTGTTGTGGCTGAAGTGTTGTGGCTGAGCGTTGGGCGGAAGCGTTGTGGCTGAAGTGTTGTGGCTGAAGCATTACGTTGAAGCGTTGTGGCTGAAGCGTTGTGGCTGAAGCGTTGTGGCTGAAGTGTTGTGGCTGAAGTGTTGGGCTGAAGCGTTGCAGCTGAAGTGTTGTGGCTGAAGTGTTGTGGCTGAAGTGTTGTGGCTGAAGTGTTGTGGCTGAAGCGTTACGCTGAAGCGTTGTGGCTGAAGCGTTGTGGCTGAAGTGTTGTGGCTGAAGTGTTGCAGCTGAAGTGTTGTGGCTGAAGTGTTGTGGCTAAGCGTCGGGCTGAAGCGTTGTGCTCGCCGCCTCACGATGTCGATCCCCCGCTGTACGGTGTTAAAGAAGTTCAACATACACACTCACCCACACACACACTCACTCACACACTCAAACACACACACACACACCCACTCACCTACACACTCACCCACACACTCACCCACCCACTCACTCACCCACTTACTCACCCACACACTCACCCACACACTCACCCACACACTCACTCACCCACCCACACACTCACCCACACACTCACCCACACACTCACCCACCCACACACTCACTCACCCACACACTCACCGACACACTCACCCACCCACACACTCACCCACCCACACACTCACCCACACACTCACCCACCCACCCACTCACCCACACACTCACCCACCCACCCACACACTCACCCACACACTCACCCACACACACACACTCACCCACCCACCCACACACTCACCCACACACTCACCCACCCACACACACACCCACTCACCCACGCACTCACCCACACACTCGCCCACACACTCACCCACACACTCACCCACACACCCACACACTCACCCACACACTCACCCACACACACACTCACCCACACACTCACCCACACACACACCCACACACACACTCACCCACACACACACTCACCCACCCACCCACACACTCACCCACACACACACTCACCCACACACTCACCCACACACACATTCACTCACCCCTGCACCTCCGATTAGCACGGTTGGCTACATACGGTTCGAGAGAAATTCAACATACATACATCACGATACACTATACTATACACTACAGTGCACTAAACCACTATACACTAATATACACGACACCGCGATACTCAATTGAAAACTCATTTCTTGAGAACTGCTTTCAGAGTTTAGAGTTGTTGTTCTAACCCCGACGCCTCCGATTAGCGCGCTTGGCTATGTACGGTGTGAAATAAGTCCACCATACGTCCAACATACGTACAACATACGTACAACATACGTACAACACACATACAACATACGTACGATACGGCAACACTCCGCGCCGCTTCGTTGGGGTGGCAAGCAGAGATGGGGGGAGGGGGGGTGAAATAAAAACTCGTCCAAGCCACGTAATATTCATTCTCTTGCACGGCAAAACTTTTACAAAACATTTCCACGGGTACATAGTAACGCGCCCGGCTTTCCATCGGGCGCGGCAGAAGCTCCAGCGGGCTTGAGAGAGGCGCCGTCGCGTTCCCTTCGGGGAAGCGAGAGTTAAATATCGTCGAGCAGTTTGCTGCTGCCGCTGCTGCCGCTGCTGCTGACGTCGTCTGTTCGGCAAAATTCTAGATGGCAATAAAAGGCATGATGAGCGTGAAAGTCCGTTGACGATTTCGTGCGGAGATGCCAACGTGCCCTCCCCAACGACCGCCCACCACCACAACCCGAGCTCCCACCACTTTTGTTTTTTAACTTTAACTTTTTGTTGTTTGTTTATTGCTGCTGCTGCTGCTTTTCCGCTTGTCAATAAATACAAATTAGGTATGAAAAATATACACCATCAAACACGAGATAACCGCCGGGACGGGGTGGGGAAGGGGGTGTGCGCGGGCAACACGCGGGCAACACGCGGGCGACACGCGGACAACACGCGTGCAACACGCGTGCAACACGCGAGCAACACGCGGGCGACACGCGGGCGACACGCGGGCTCGTTCAGAGCGTGAACGTCGGCAGCGACGTCTTCAGGGCCATGATCTCGTTGACGGCGAAGTTGGTCTGGTGGAAGAAGTCGAGGCCCGACAGGAGCTCCACGTCGCGCACGCGCGCCGAGTGCATCTTCACGAGCTCCTCCACCCACCGCGACTCTTCCTCCTCGCTCTGCGGCACGCACGCACGCACAACGTACGCCGCTAAGTGGCCGTGACGGCACCGCGGCGCCCGTGCCAGGCTGGGTGCGCTTTAGGGCCACGCGAAGCGTCCGGCACAAACAGGCCCCCCACCTCCTCGGTGGTGCCGGACGGTAACGCCGCGGTGGACGTGACGCGGAGGGAAGGCGACTTGTAAAATCGGCCATTCCCCCCCCATGGCGCGCGTAGCCACCACGGCAGGCCAAATGGGGGCCCTTGACGGGTGCGAGGGGCTGGGAAACTCTCCACCTTCAATTCATCTACCACTGAACCATTGAACCAGAAAGACAAATAACTCCCGTATAGCCTGTAACAGACAACACGCACATACACATAGGCGCACACACACACACATGCACGCGCACACACACACACACACACGCATGGGGGTGACTACACTGGGGGTGTCTACACTGTGGGTGTCTACACTGACAGGTGTCTACACTGGGGGTGTCTACACTGACAGGTGTCTACACTGGGGGTGTCTACACTGTGGGTGTCTACACTGACAGGTGCCTACACTGACAGGTGTCTACACTGACAGGTGTTTACACTGGGGGTGTCTACACTGTGGGTGTCTACACTGACAGGTGTCTACACTGACAGGTGTCTACACTGACAGGTGTCTACACTGACAGGTGTCTACACTGGGGGTGTCTACACTGACAGGTGTCTACACTGAGGGTGTCTACACTGACAGGTGTCTACACTGGGGGTGTCTACACTGGGGGTGTCTACACTGACAGGTGTCTACACTGACAGGTGTCTACACTGACAGGTGCCTACACTGACGGGTGTCTACACTGGGGGTGTCTACACTGACAGGTGTCTACACTGACAGGTGTCTACACTGACAGGTGTCTACACTGACAGGTGTCTACACTGGGGGTGTCTACACTGACAGGTGTCTACACTGGGGGTGTCTACACTGACAGGTGTCTACACTGGGGGTGTCTACACTGGGGGTGTCTACACTGGGGGTGTCTACACTGACAGGTGCCTACACTGGGGGTGTCTACACTGACAGGTGTCTACAATGGGGGTGTCTACACTGACAGGTGTCTACACTGGGGGTGTCTACACTGTGGGTGTCTACACTGACAGGTGTCTACACTGACAGGTGTCTACACTGGGGGTGTCTACACTGTGGGTGTCTACACTGACAGGTGTCTACACTGACAGGTGACTACACTGGGGGTGACTATACTGGGGGTGTCTACACTGACAGGTGTTTACACTGACAGGTGTCTACACTGGGGGTGTCTACACTGACAGGTGTCTACATTGGGGGTGTTTCTACACTGGGGGTGTCTACACTGTGGGTGTCTACACTGACAGGTGTCTACACTGGGGGTGTCTACACTGACAGGTGTCTACACTGACAGGTGTCTACACTGGGGGTATCTACACTGACAGGTGCCTACACTGTGGGTGTCTACACTGGGGGTGTCTACACTGACAAGTGACTACACTGGGGGTGTCTACACTGGGGGTGTCTACACTGACAGGTGTCTACACTGACAGGTGTCTACACTGGGGGTGTCTACACTGACAGGTGTCTACACTGGGGGTGTCTACACTGTGGGTGTCTACACTGGGGGTGTATACACAGGGGGTGTCTACACTGACAGGTGTCTACACTGACAGGTGACTACACTGGGGGTGACTACACTGGAGGTGTCTACACTGACAGGTGTCTACACTGACAGGTGTCTACACTGGGGGTGTCTACACTGACAGGTGTCTACACTGGGGGTGTCTACACTGTGGGTGTCTACACTGGGGGTGTATACACAGGGGGTGTCTACACTGACAGGTGTCTACACTGACAGGTGTCTACACTGGGGGTGTCTACACTGACAGGTGTCTACACTGGGGGTGTCTACACTGTGGGTGTCTACACTGACAGGTGTCTACACTGACAGGTGTCTACACTGGGGGTGTCTACACTGACAGGTGTCTACACTGGGGGTGTCTACACTGACAGGTGTCTACACTGTGGGTGTCTACACTGGGGGTGTCTACACCTGGGGTGTCTACACTGTGGGTGTCTACACTGGGGGTGTCTACGCTGTGGGTGTCTACACTGACAGGTGTCTACACTGGGGGTGTTTCTACACTGGGGGTGTCTACACTGTGGGTGTCTACACTGACAGGTGTCTACACTGACAGGTGTCTACACTGGGGGTGTCTACACTGACAGGTGTCTACACTGGGGGTGTCTACGCTGTGGGTGTCTACACTGACAGGTGTCTACACTGTGGGTGTCTACACTGGGGGTGTCTACACTGGGGGTGTCTACACTAACAGGTGTCTACACTGGGGGTGACTACACTGGGGGTGTCTACACTGACAGGTGTCTACACTGGGGGTGTCTACACTGGGGGTGTCTACAGTGGGGGTGTCTACACTGACAGGTGTCTACACTGACAGGTGTCTACACTGACAGGTGACTACACTGGGGGTGTCTACACTGACAGGTGTCTACACTGTGGGTGTCTACACTGTGGGTGTCTACACTGTGGGTGTCTACACTGTGGGTGTCTACACTGACAGGTGCCTACACTGAGAGGTGTCTACACTGGGGGTGTTTACACTGTGGGTGTCTACACTGACAGGTGCCTACACTGACAGGTGTCTACACTGACAGGTGACTACACTGACAGGTGTCTACACTGCGGGTGTCTACACTGGGGGTGTCTACACTGGGGGTGTCTACACTGACAAGTGTCTACACTGACAGGTGTCTACACTGACAGGTGTCTACACTGGGGGTGTCTACACTGGGGGTGTCTACACTGTGGGTGTCTACACTGTGGGTGTCTACACTGAGAGGTGTCTACACTGGGGGTGTCTACACTGGCAGGTGTCTACACTGACAGGTGTCTACACTGGGGGGTGTCTACACTGTGGGTGTCTACACTGGGGGTGTGTCTACACTGGGGGTGTCTACACTGACAGGTGTCTACACTAACAGGTGTCTACACTGGGGGTGACTACACTGGGGGTGTCTACACTGGGGGTGTCTACACTGACAGGTGTCTACACTGGGGGTGTCTACACTGGGGGTGTCTACAGTGGGGGTGTCTACACTGACAGGTGTCTACACTGACAGGTGTCTACACTGGGGGTGTCTACACTGGGGGTGTCTACACTGTGGGTGTCTACACTGTGGGTGTCTACACTGAGAGGTGTCTACACTGGGGGTGTTTACACTGTGGGTGTCTACACTGACAGGTGCCTACACTGACAGGTGTCTACACTGACAGGTGACTACACTGACAGGTGTCTACACTGCGGGTGTCTACACTGGGGGTGTCTACACTGGGGGTGTCTACACTGACAAGTGTCTACACTGACAGGTGTCTACACTGACAGGTGTCTACACTGGGGGTGTCTACACTGGGGGTGTCTACACTGTGGGTGTCTACACTGTGGGTGTCTACACTGAGAGGTGTCTACACTGGGGGTGTCTACACTGGCAGGTGTCTACACTGACAGGTGTCTACACTGGGGGGTGTCTACACTGTGGGTGTCTACACTGGGGGTGTGTCTACACTGGGGGTGTCTACACTGACAGGTGTCTACACTGACAGGTGTCTACACTGGGGGTGTCTACACTGGGGGTGTCTACACTGGGGGTGTCTACACTGGGGGTGTCTACACTAACAGGTGACTACACTGACAGGTGTCTACACTGGGGGTGTCTACACTGGGGGTGTGTCTACACTGGGGGTGTCTACACTTGGGGTGTCTACACTGTGGGTGTCTACACTGACAGGTGTCTACACTTACAGGTGTCTACACTGTGGGTGTCTACACTGGGGGTGTCTACACTGGGTGTGTCTACACTGGGGGTGTCTACACTGTGGGTGATTACACTGGGGGTGGCTACACTGACAGGTGTCTACACTGACGGGTGTCTACACGGGGGGTGTCTACACTGGGGGTGTCTACACTGACAGGTGTCTACACTGACAGGTGTCTACACTGGGGGTGACTACACTGGGGGGTGTCTACACTGTGGGTGTCTACACTGACGGGTGTCTACACTGACAGTGTCTACACTGGGGGTGACTACACTGGGGGGTGTCTACACTGTGGGTGTCTACACTGGGGGTGTCTACACTGACAGGTGTCTACACTGACAGGTGTCTACACTGACAGGTGTCTACACTGGGGGTGTCTACACTGGGGGTGTCTACACTGATAGGTGTCTACACTGACAGGTGTCTACACTGGGGGTGTCTACAGTGGGGGTGTCTACACTGGGGGTGTCTACACTGACAGGTGTCTACACTGACAGGTGTCTACACTGACAGGTGTCTACACTGACAGGTGTCTACACTGGGGGTGTCTACACTGACAGGTGTCTACACTGGTGGGTGTCTACACTGGGGGTGTCTACACTGGGGGTGTCTACACTGGGGGTGTCTACACTGACAGGTGTCTACACTGGGGGTGTCTACACTGACAGGTGTCTACACTGACAGGTGTCTACACTGGGGGTGTCTACACTGACAGGTGTATACACTGACAGGTGTCTACACTGGGGGTGTCTACACTGACAGGTGTCTACACTGATGGGTGACTACACTGGGGTGTCTACACTGGGGATGTCTACACTGACAGGTGTCTACACTGGGGGTGACTACACTGGGGGTGACTACACTGACAGGTGTCTACACTGGGGGTGTCTACACTGGGGGTGTGTCTACACTGGGCGTGTCTACACTGGGGGTGTCTACACTGACAGGTGTCTACACTGACAGGTGTCTACACTGACAGGTGTCTACACTGGGGGTGACTACACTGACAGGTGTCTACACTGACAGGTGTCTACACTGGGGGTGTCTACACTGACAGGTGTCTGCACTGGGGGTGTCTACACTGGGGGTGTCTACACTGGGGGTGTCTACACTGACAGGTGTCTACACTGACAGGTATCTACACTGACAGGTGTCTACACTGATTGGTGTCTACACTGGGGGTGTCTACACTGGGGGGTGTCTACACCTGGGGTGTCTACACTGGGGGTGTCTACACTGGGGGTGTCTACACTGACAGGTGTCTACACTGACAGGTGTCTACACTGGGGGGTGTCTACACTGACAGGTGTCTACACTGACAGGTGTCTACACTGACAGGTGTCTACACTGGGGGTGTCTATACTGGGGGTGTCTACACTGACAGGTGTCTACACTGGGGGTGTCTACACTGACAGGTGTCTACACTGACAGGTGTCTACACTGACAGGTGTCTACACTGGGGGTGTCTATACTGGGGGTGTCTACACTGGGGGTGTCTACACTGACAGGTGTCTACACTGACGGGTGTCTACACTGGGGGTGTCTACACTGGTGGTGTCTACACTGGGGGTGTCTACACTTTGGGTGTCTACACTGGGGGTGTCTACACTGACAGGTGTCTACACTGACGGGTTTCTACACTGGGCGTGTCTACACTGGGGGTGTCTACACTGGGGGTGTCTACACTGGGGGTGTCTATACTGGGGGTGTCTACACTGGGCGTGTCTACACTGCGGGTGTCTACACTGACAGGAGTCTACACTGGGGGTGTCTACACTGGGGGTGTCTACACTGACAGGTGTCTACACTGACGGGTGTCTACACTGGGGGTGTCTACACTGGTGGTGTCTACACTGGGGGTGTCTACACTGACAGGTGTCTACACTGGGGGTGTCTACACTGGGGGGTGTCTACACTGATAGGTGTCTACACTGTGGGTGTCTACACTGGGGGTGTCTACACTGGGGGGTGTCTACACTGACAGGTGTCTACACTGACGGGTGTCTACACTGGGGGTGTCTACACTGGTGGTGTCTACACTGTGGGTGTCTACACTGGTGGTGTCTACACTGGGGGTGTCTACACTGGGGGTGTCTACACTGACGGGTGTCTACACTGACGGGTGTCTACACTGGGGGTGTCTACACTGGGGGTGTGTCTACACTGGTGGTGTCTACACTGGGGGTGTCTACACTGACGGGTGTCTACACTGGGGGTGTCTACACTGGTGGTGTCTACACTGGGGGTGTCTACACTGGTGGTGTCTACACTGGGGGTGTCTACACTGACAGGTGTCTACACTGTGGGTGTCTACTCACATTGCAGCTCTCCTCGTTGTCGGGTCTGTGCGGCAGGATGAAGGAGGAGGCCTCGAGCTTCCCCTCGCACTGGTTGGGCCCCTTCGCCTTGTCCCGACAGCTCGTGATGACGATGAAGTAGTGGGTGGGGACCGGCATCAAGAGCGACGCGTCCGTGTACCTGGGGCGGGCAGGGGCGGTGCGCAGCAACATCATCATCGACATCGTCGTCGTCAACGTCATCGTCATCGTGATCATCATCGTTGTCGTCATGAGCATCATCATCGTCGTCGTCATTGTCATCAAGATCATCATCATCGTAATCATCGTCATCCTGATCATCATCAATGTCGTCATGAGCATCATCATCATTGTCATCATGATCATTATCGTGGTCATCATCATCATCATGATCATCATCATTTTCATCATGATTTTCATCATGATCATCATTATCCTCATCATCATCATGATCATCATTTTTATCATGATCATCATCATGTTCCTCATGATCATCATCGTCGTCATCACTTTCATCATCATCATCATCGTTGTCATCATGGTCATTGTCATCATGATCATCATGATCGCGATCATCATCATAGTCACTGTCATCATGAGCATCATCATATTCATTGTCACGATTATCATGATCATCATCATGGCCATTGTCATCATCATCATGATCATGGTTGTCATCATGATCATCATCATCATCATGGTAATTGTCGTCATGATCATCATCGTTGTCACCATAGTCACTGTCATCATGATCATCATCATGGCCATTGTGATTATGATGATGATGATCATCATGATCACTGTAATCATGATCATCATCATTATCATAGCCATTGTCGTCATGATGATCATCATCGTGATCATGGCCATTGTCATCATCATCATCATGACCATTGTCATCATGATCATCACCATCGTCATCATCATCATCGCTAGCCACGAGCTAAGCCAGTGGTTGACAATGGCCAGTGCGGGCTGGTGACGTGAAGGACTCACTGCAGGATTTTGTCGACGGGGTCGAAGCGCCCGTCGACGTTGTAGTCGAACACAGGCCCGCTCACCACGTTGATGCCATGGTGCTGGTTGCCGTACGTCTTGAGTAGCACGTCGTGGAAGTGTTTCCATATTCCTGTTTCGGACAACGTGGTCGTCATCGTGATTGTTCTTGTCGTCATCGTCGTCATCACCGTGTCATCATCATTATCGTCTTTATCGTCGTCATTGTCATCATCGTCATTATCGTGTCATCATCATTATCGTCATTATCGTCGCCATTGTTGTCATTGTAATCATCGTCATTATCGTCATGGTCGTCATTGTCATCATCGTCGTTATCATCATAGTGTCATCATCATCGTAATTGTCATCATCATCATTATCGTCATCATAAAAATCGTCATCGTCGTTGTCATCATCATCATCATCATCGTAGTTACCGTCATCATCATCGACGACATCATCGTCGTAGCCGTCATCGACATTGTCATCATCACTGTCGTCATCGTCGTCACTATTACGCTTGTTCACCCATGAGAGGCGTGCCAAGTGTCGCGACCCCTGCCCAGCAGGGTACCTGCCACGTGCTCACACCTGGGGGGCGACGGCTGCTGACCTCCGTAGATGCCAGCCGAGGGTCAATTTGCCGTGCGGTTGTTCAGAATTTGGACAAAAGTTCGGCCCCTCGGCGCTGGCACGCAATGGTCAACTCTCGCGAATGGCGGCCAGAGGGAATGAAATGTCTAATATAAATCCGGCGGTGGCAAGACATCGCGTACCTTGGCGGAAATTGACCCCGTTAAACCCTCGTCCCTTCACGTATCGGCACAATGCGGTCACCGCCCGCCCCATATCCACTTCAAGGTTTCTCTCTCGACTTAATTCGCAACAAATTACGAGGATCGGTCAGAAAAAATTTAAATTTTAAATGACTCCCCATGAGCCGACTTGCACTGCAGGGAACGTATTTGCTCGAAGCGCCAATACAATTCTCCTATCGTGGCCTCTCTCTGTGTCTCTCTGTCTCTGTCTGTCTGTCTCTCTTTCTGTCTCTCTCTGTCTATCTCTCTGTCTGTTTCTGCCTCTCTGTCTGTCTCTGTCTGTCTCTGTCTGTCTGTCTCTGTCTGTCTCTCTTTCTGTCTCTTTCTGTCTCTCTCTGTCTGTCTCTCGTTCTCTCTGTCTGTCTCTCTGTCTCTCTCTCTCTGTCTCTCTGTCTGTCTCTGTCTCTCTCTCTGTCTGTCTCTGTCTGTCTCTGTCTTTCTGTCTGTCTCTGTCTCTCTTTCTGTCTCTCTGTCTGTCTCGTTCTCTCTGTTTGTCTCTCTCGCTCTGTCACTCTGTCTGTCTCTGTCTCTCTTTCTGTCTCTCTCTGTCTGTCTCGTTCTCTCTGTCTGTCTCTCTGTCTGTCTCTCTCTGTATGTCTCTGTCTCTCTTTCTGTCTCTCTCTGTCTGTCTCTGTCTCTCTGTCTCTCTCGTTCTCTCTGTCTGTCTCTCTGTCTGTCTCTCTCTCTGTCTCTCTCTCTCTGTCTCTGTCTCTCTTTCTGTCTCTCTCTGTCTGTCTCTCTCTCTTACTCCGTCACCCAAGAGCCCTCACCTGGGTCGCTCGCAAAATCAACTCGGGGGGAAAAAAAAACTATCGGTGGGTGCCGGTGTGGGGTACTTGCGTTTGAACGGCTTGTACATGGGCACGATGTTCGATGCCAGCAGACCCTCGTGCATCGACGACTCCGATCGGCTGAGACCTGCAACGGTGGGATTCGGGAAATTGACACACACACAGACACACAACAACTGCCATTCGCCACTAAGTGGCGGTGACGTCACCACGACGCTTGTGCCAGGCTATGTGCACATTGAGGCCACGTGAAGTGTCGAACGCCCCCTGGCAGGAGGTCACGGGGCAGACCCAGGTGCCACGGGTCGACTGACTGAGATGACTGGCTGATGCACCACCTGTGCCCCCTACTGTGCCAACCTGCTGTGCTTTAGCCACCCGGCGCTCCGCTCGTTGTTGTGAGCGTCGCTCCTCCGCTCTCCGTTGTTGTTGGAGGGCGACTGCCTCCAACTGCCCGGTAGCGTCCTTCACGAGCCTCCTCCACAGAGGCCGATCTTGACACCGCTGGTAACAGTCATCGGCAAGTCCACTCAGCTCCACATCCTCCTGTACCACATCACTCCATCTCTTCTCTAGCCCGTGCCGCGCCCGCTTAGCCCCCTCGATCCGGCTGAACTAAAGCTGTTTCGGCATGCGGTGGCTGGGCATGCGGGCTACATGATCCAGCCATCGCAGCCTTGCCTGCCGGAGGAGTTCACTGATGGGACTTTGTCCAGATCATTCAAGGATTTGTGAGCTCAAACTAGATTCGAAGTTTTCGTGACTGCAGGAATTACTCTTTGGTTCTTTCGGTAAAGTCACGTAGAAAATTTAATCAAATAATAATAGAATACGACGTTTCGGTTGCAACAACAGCAGCCATCATCAGGTAAGAATGAATGATAGAACACAGACACGTGAACAGCATAGGCAGACACACATGCAGAGAGAGACACACACGAAGACACACCGAGCCAGAGGACATCCCTGTCGCACCCAAAAGTTAACAGGGAATGGCTCCGACTCTCAGCCACGTGGTTTTACCCGGGCCCTCTCACCATGTTGAAGGTCCTTAATGATTGTGAGCAGCGGGTCAGGGACTCCAAAAGCACGAAGAACCCAGAGCCCAGGCCTACTGATGGTATCATAGGCCTTGACCAGGTCAATAAAGCAGAGATGTAGGTCTTGTTGGAATTCCCTACACCTCTGCTGTAGCAGACAGACAGAACATATGGCATCTGTGCAGGACCGCCCTTTCCTGAAACAGCATTGGGGCTCCGCAAGCCTCTCCTCAGCATGCCTGGCAAGGCGATGTTGAATAATCCTTGCCAGGACCTTTCCCGGCACACTGAGGAGTGAGATGCCCCTGTAGTTGTTACAGTCTGTGCAGTCCCCTTTCTTAAAGAGTGGGCCCACCAGGGCATCCTTCCAATCCTGCGGAACCCGTCCAGTGGTCCAGACTGTTGTTACGATGTCATGTAGGGCAGTCTGTGCACAAACGCCACTCTCCCTCAACATTTCACTTGGGAGATCATCTCTGCCCGGTGCCTTTCCTGGATCTTAGACTCTGGATCGCCCTCAGGACTCCCTTAACAGATGGCACCTCAGCCAGCCACTCACAGGGGGTGACTTCTTCTTCCAATATTTGAGGCACCGCAGCCTCAGCAGGGTCATCCCCACTTTGTACCACGATGTTTTCCAGGCTGTGGGATTTCCCCTCCTCCAGGACCTCACAGAAATGCTCAGCAAATCTGCAAACCAGTTCCTGTGGGTGGGAGATTGGATCACCGTTCTGCCTGGATCACCACAGAGATCCAGGCAGGACCATTCCAGCTCCCGACAGAGGAGCGGCAGCCTCTCCTCCGCAGTGAGCGTTCGAACATTCCACATGGCCATCCGTAGTGCCTTTTTGTTGTTTCTGGAGGAGCCCCAAGGGTAAGGATTCAGTCTCCTGGCTCCGCCAAATGGAGTTTGGCAAGGAGACATCATAGACGCCTGTCCTCCCGGGGCCTCCGGCACAAGCTTAAACATTTTTTGACCTCGGAGTTTAGTGGTAGTTAATTTACTCATCCAGAGCCCACATTTGGCCACTGTGGTGGTTACAACCGCCATGAAGGGAAAGGCCAATCTAAATTGGCGCTCCCCTACAGAAGTTACCCACCACAACGTTGCTGTCCGACACACACACACACACAGACACACACAGACACACACTAAAGAAAAGTGAACCCGCGACACGCCTCGCCGATCCTGGTCAAGGAGTGGAAACCGTCGTCACGGTGACAACTCCGCTCTAAACACCGTCGCCAAGGTAACAACTCCGCACTAAACACTGTCACCATGGTAACAACTCCGCACTAAACAACGTCACCATGGTAACAACTCCGCACTAAACACCGTCACCATGGTAACAACTCCGCTCTAAACACCATCGCCCTGGTAACAACTCCGCACTAAACACCGTCACCATGGTAACAACTCCGCATTAAACACCATCACCATGGTAACAACTCCGCTCTAAACACCATCGCCCTGGTAACACCTTCACTCTAAACACCGTCGCCACGCTGACAAATCCGCTCTAAACACCGTCGCCACCGTAACAACTGCACTCTAAAAATCGTTGCCATGGTAACAACTCCGCTCTAAACACCGTCACCACGGTAACAACTCCGCTTTAAACACCGTCACCATGGTAACAACTCCGCTCTAAACACCGTCACCATGGTAACAACTCCGCACTAAACACCGTCACCATGGTAACAACTCCGCACTAAACACCGTCACCATGGTAACAACTCCGCTCTAAACACCGTCGCCATGGTAACAACTCCACTCTAAACACCGTCACCATGGTAACAACTCAGCACTAAACACCGTCGCCATGGTAACAACTCCGCTCTAAACACCGTCACCATGGTAACAACTCCGTTCTAAACACCGTCACCACGGTAACAACTCCGCTCTAAACACCATCGCCATGGCAACACCTCCGCTCTAAACACCGTCACCACCGTAACAACTGCACTCTAAACACCGTCGCCATGGTAACAACTCTGCTCTAAACACCGTCACCACGGTAACATCTCCGCTCTAAACACCATCACCATGGTAACAACTCCGCTCTAAACACCGTCGCCACGGTGACAAATCCGCTCTAAACACCGTCGCCACCGTAACAACTGCACTCTAAAAATCGTTGCCATGGTAACAACTCCGCTCTAAACACCGTCAAAACGGTAACAACTCCACTTTAAACGCCGTCACCATGGTAACAACTCCGCTCTAAACACCGTCACCATGGTAACAACTCCGCACTAAACACCGTCACCATGGTAACAACTCCGCACTAAACACCGTCACCATGGTAACAACTCCGCTCTAAACACCGTCGCCATGGTAACAACTCCACTCTAAACACCGTCACCATGGTAACAACTCCGCACTAAACACCGTCGCCATGGTAACAACTCCGCTCTAAACACCGTCACCATGGTAACAACTCCGTTCTAAACACCGTCACCACGGTAACAACTCCGCTCTAAACACCATCGCCATGGCAACAACTCCGCTCTAAACACCGTCACCACCGTAACAACTGCACTCTAAAAATCGTTGCCATGGTAAAAACTCCGCTCTAAACACCATCACCACGGTAACAACTCCGCTTTAAACACCGTCACCATGGTAACAACTCCACTCTAAACACCGTCACCATGGTAACAACTCCGCATTAAACACCATCACCATGGTAACAACTCTGCACTAAACACCATCACCATGGTAACAACTCCGCTCTAAACACCGTCGCCATGGTAACAACTCCACTCTAAACACCGTCACCATGGTAACAACTCCGCACTAAACACCGTCGCCATGGTAACAACTCCACTCTAAACACCGTCACCATGGTAACAACTCAGCACTAAACACCGTCGCCATGGTAACAACTCCGCTCTAAACACCGTCACCATGGTAACAACTCCGTTCTAAACACCGTCACCACGGTAACAACTCCGCTCTAAACACCATCGCCATGGCAACACCTCCGCTCTAAACACCGTCACCACCGTAACAACTGCACTCTAAACACCGTCGCCATGGTAACAACTCTGCTCTAAACACCGTCACCACGGTAACATCTCCGCTCTAAACACCATCACCATGGTAACAACTCCGCTCTAAACACCGTCGCCACGGTGACAAATCCGCTCTAAACACCGTCGCCACCGTAACAACTGCACTCTAAAAATCGTTGCCATGGTAACAACTCCGCTCTAAACACCGTCAAAACGGTAACAACTCCACTTTAAACGCCGTCACCATGGTAACAACTCCGCTCTAAACACCGTCACCATGGTAACAACTCCGCACTAAACACCGTCACCATGGTAACAACTCCGCACTAAACACCGTCACCATGGTAACAACTCCGCTCTAAACACCGTCGCCATGGTAACAACTCCACTCTAAACACCGTCACCATGGTAACAACTCCGCACTAAACACCGTCGCCATGGTAACAACTCCGCTCTAAACACCGTCACCATGGTAACAACTCCGTTCTAAACACCGTCACCACGGTAACAACTCCGCTCTAAACACCATCGCCATGGCAACAACTCCGCTCTAAACACCGTCACCACCGTAACAACTGCACTCTAAAAATCGTTGCCATGGTAAAAACTCCGCTCTAAACACCATCACCACGGTAACAACTCCGCTTTAAACACCGTCACCATGGTAACAACTCCACTCTAAACACCGTCACCATGGTAACAACTCCGCATTAAACACCATCACCATGGTAACAACTCTGCACTAAACACCATCACCATGGTAACAACTCCGCTCTAAACACCGTCGCCATGGTAACAACTCCACTCTAAACACCGTCACCATGGTAACAACTCCGCACTAAACACCGTCGCCATGGTAACAACTCCGCTCTAAACACCGTCACCATGGTAACAACTCCGTTCTAAACACCGTCACCACGGTAACAACTCCGCTCTAAACACCATCGCCATGGCAACAACTGCGCTCTAAACACCGTCACCACGGTAACAATTCCGCTCTAAACACCGTCACCATGGTAACAACTCCGCTCTAAACACCGTCACCATGGTAACACCTTCACTCTAAACACCGTCACCATGGTAACACCTTCACTCTAAACACCATCGTCATGGTAACAACTCCGCTCTAAACACCGTCACCATGGTAACACCTTCACTCTAAACACCGTCACCATGGTAACACCTTCACTCTAAACACCGTCACCATGGTAACAACTCCGCTCTAAACACCGTCACCATGGTAACAACTCTGCTCTAAACACCATCACCATGGTAACAACTCCGCTCTAAACACCGTCACCATGGTAACAACTCCGCACTAAACACCGTCACCATGGTAACAACTCCGCACTAAACACCGTCACCATGGTAACAACTCCGCTCTAAACACCGTCGCCATGGTAACAACTCCACTCTAAACACCGTCACCATGGTAACAACTCCGCACTAAACACCGTCGCCATGGTAACAACTCCGCTCTAAACACCGTCACCATGGTAACAACTCCGTTCTAAACACCGTCACCACGGTAACAACTCCGCTCTAAACACCATCGCCATGGCAACAACTCCGCTCTAAACACCGTAACCACCGTAACAACTGCACTCTAAAAATCGTTGCCATGGTAACAACTCCGCTCTAAACACCATCACCACGGTAACAACTCCGCTTTAAACACCATCACCATGGTAACAACTCCGCTCTAAACACCGTCACCATGGTAACAACTCCGCACTAAACACCATCACCATGGTAACAACTCTGCACTAAACACCATCACCATGGTAACAACTCCGCTCTAAACACCATCGCCATGGTAACAACTCCACTCTAAACACCGTCACCATGGTAACAACTCCGCACTAACCACCGTCGCCATGGTAACAACTCCGCTCTAAACACCGTCACCATGGTAACAACTCCGTTCTAAACACCGTCACCACGGTAACAACTCCGCTCTAAACACCATCGCCATGGCAAGAACTGCGCTCTAAACACCGTCACCACGGTAACAATTCCGCTCTAAACACCGTCACCATGGTAACAACTCCGCTCTAAACACCGTCACCATGGTAACACCTTCACTCTAAACACCGTCACCATGGTAACACCTTCACTCTAAACACCATCGTCATGGTAACAACTCCACTCTAAACACCATCGCTACGGTAACAACTCCTCTCTAAACACCGTCACCATGGTAACAACTCCGCTCTAAACACCATCACCATGGTAACAACTCTGCTCTAAACACCATCACCATGGTAACAACTTCGCTTTAAACACCATCACCCCGGTAACAACTCCGCTCTAAAAACCGTCACCATGGGAACAACTCCGCTCTAAACACCATCGTCATGGTAACAACTCCACTCTAAACACCATCGCCATGGTAACAACTCCACTCTAAACACCATCGCTACGGTAACAACTCCGCTCTAAACACCGTCACCATGGTAACAACTCCACTCTAAACACCGTCACCATGGTAACAACTCCGCTCTAAACACCGTCACCATGGTAACAACTCCGCTCTAAACACCGTCACCATGGTAACAACTCCGCTCTAAACACCGTCACCATGGTAGCAACTCCGCTCTAAACACCGTCACCATGGTAACAACTCCGCTCTAAACACCATCACCATGGTAACAACTCCGCTTTAAACACCGTCACCATGGTAACAACTCCGCTCTAAACACCGTCACCATGGTAACAACTCCGCTCTAAACACCGTCACCATGGTAGCAACTCCGCTCTAAACACCGTCACCATGGGAACAACTCCGCTCTAAACACCATCGCCATGGTAACAACTCCACTCTAAACACCATCGCCATGGTAACAACTCCACTCTAAACACCATCACCACGGTAACAACTCCGCTCTAAACACCATCGCTACGGTAACAACTCTGCTCTAAACACCATCGCCATGGTAACAACTCCACTCTAAATACCATCGCCACGGTAACAACTCCACTCTAAACACCATCGCCATGGTAACAACTCCACTCTAAACACCATCGCCATGGTAACAACTCCACTCTAAACACCATCGCCACGGTAACAACTCCACACTAAACATCATCGCCACGGTAACAACTCTGCTCATCCTCGCAGCAGCAGCAGCGACGGCTTTTGGCTGCGAGCCGTCGAACAAAGACGGTGGTGGTCACCGCATCACTGCACGGCACTTTCAGACGCACTTCTCCTGCGGGCCATCTGGAATGCTCTTCCTTCCGATATTATAAGCCACTGGAGCTGTGCACATTTAAATCACCATCATCTAGATAAGAGGTGGGGAACGTCCTGCCCGCGGGCCGTATGAGGCCCACGAAATCATTTGGTCTCTGGCCCTGCCAAGGCAACCGCAGGCGGGATTCGAAATTCAACAAATCTAGGAGCAAACCTGGACAAGCAGTTGCGAGTAGCAACATCGTCAATACCAGCTAACATCATCACGCGCCTCGCCAAAGAGAAGCAGTTCCAGCCATCACTTTAGGGGTGAGTTAATTCAATGTTTGACCAAATATAACGGGCAAATTTTTAAGTTGATAATTTTGTATGGCCCGCGAATGATGTTCTAAATATCCTAATGGCCCTTGGCGAAGAAAAAGGTTCCCCACCCCTGATCTAGATCGACAAACTCATTTATTTAGGGCTGCTTTTAGTGTTTAGCTTGTTGTCCTTCCCCGGCACCTCCGATTGGCACGGTTGGCTACAGTACGTACGGTGGTGTGAAAGTTCAACACACGTCCACATATGGTGAACTTCCTAGATGGAGGAGCTGTACCCCTGGCTCTGCCACGACAAGGCAGTACAACATCGTGTGTGGACTAATCTCCATCTGTTCCATCTCACTCCCTTCTGCCTGTGGGTGGGTGTCCAGGAGGAGCTGTGCCCTGGCTCTGCGAGTAGAAGGCAGTACAGAATTATTGATATTCTCTGAGCCTTGTGGAACGCTTCACGTCACTAACGCTGGGCTCAGGTATCTGCTCGAATCGAACTTTTCCCAAAAAATTTGTTGGGCGAATCGGTTTACTCTCTCGCGAGCTGGATTCATTTAGCAATGGCTCTGTGAGGTTGTTTATTTTAATATTCTCAATAAAAAACATCCCCCGGGGACGCGTCTTCTAGTGCGCGGTCGTTATGGGCGCCAAGAGGACGTGGCACAGCAGCAGATGTCGAAGAAGATGAGGAGGAAGAAGAAGTAGGAGGAGAAGAAGAAGCCGCTTGTACACAGACACGGCAGACGACGACAACAACAACACATAGGTGAGGACTTCTCCACAAATCTGGCTCCCACCTGATGAAGTAATTACTGGCGAAACCGTGTGCTAGTAACGAATTGGCACGTTCTGTTTACGTGACAAACCTTACTAATTGGCTGTGTCGGCTGGTGGCGGCTTGAACGACACATTTAGATATTCACGTGACCAAAGCTGCATTATAGGCGATGGAATAAACTTGCGTCTATTGATATTTTCCCCCGCCCCTTCCGTTATTCTTTAACAAGAACCGTTTGTGACTGTTGTGTTTATTTTGTCGTCACCACCAAGGCATTTCGCCGTGACCCCATCATTCCCTGCCAAAAATGTAATCGGTTATCTTGCCGTCAAATTACACTTCAATCTTTTTTCGCAGCCAAAGAGCTTCAAGAGGGAGGCCAAAGAGCCACTCCGGAGGCGCAGCGTTTGCCAACGCCTGGGGTAGAGCGATTCCCTCTCGTACGCCGGGTGGGTTTTGTTCGGGAGCACGGTTGGCTACGTATGGCGTGAAATAAGTTCATCATACATACATACATACACACGTGTGTACTCATTGATGGGCTGATAGCATATTTAATATATATAGGACCGCAGATCTTTGGGGGTGGAATTTGGCATCGGCTAACCGCCTGGCTGACTTTCCCGCTCGTCTGTGCTTTGTCCTAAACTACTTTTTATTGTACCAGGTAAGGCCCCCACTGAGCTATGTAACTCTTATTCAGAAGCAACCAGGCTATCATAAATGATAGCTCAACAAAGTGGCCTTATCACCACGTGGACATTTATAGCAGCAGTCAGTTCTCATGTGGAGGAAAAACCGGAGAAAAATTCCACGTGACCACGGGGAAAGATACACACAGACTCTAAATATAGAGCAAGCCTCAGGGTCAGGATCGAACCCACGATATCCTGCAAACCAGGCAAGGGAGTAAGCACCTCAACCACCGTGGCACCCTCGCACCTCTGAGTCATCTCCGTGCCGTAGTAGCGCAGCGGTATAAGATGACATCACCATTTTAGCCCCTTTTGTGTGAGGCCCCAACGGTAGGCTGTCCGCTTTTGTGTGAGGCCACAGGAGCAAGTTGCCTCCTTATGTGCGAGGCCCCAGAAGTAGGCTGCCCCCTTTTGTGCGAGGGCCCGGGGGCGCCCGGTGCCTTACTCGGGGGGTAGAGGTAGCCGTAGGAGAGGTTGGACGTGGACTTGAAGGCTTTGCAGGCCGTGACTTTGCTGACGGGGATCCGGATGTCGGGCTTCAAGCACTGGGCGAGCGCGGCCGAGGGCTCGTTGATGTTGATCTGCGAGGCGTGCACGTGCGAACACACACACGTACACGTGTACATGACGTACGTACACGTGCACATACGAACGGAACGCACACACGTACACAAGTGTACGTGACGTCCGTAAGCGTGCATGTACGAACGGAACACACACACGTACACGTGTACGTGACGTACATGTGCACGTATGAACGGAACATAGACACGTACACGTGACGTACTCATTCATGTAGGAACGTAACACACACACGTACACGTGTACGTGACGTACTCATTCATGTACGAATGGAACGCACACACGTACACATGTACGTACACGTGTACGTACGTCCACCGGTTTTTATTCCAATTCCGATCCGATGACGAATACGTGTACATGCGTTTACGTCATCGGAACATACGCCATCGGTTCCTGAGGCTCCCACAAGGCCATGCGGGAGGGGCCGTGTAAGGCACAGTTTTGGCTGCCGGCTATCGTCGAGTGGCGGCGGTCGCGTCGCTACAGTTCTCTGCGGTGAGTAACAATGTTCATTCAAAACAACGGCGCTGCTTCTACCACGCCTCTCTAAATAAAATGTAACGCTGTGAACCGCCCGCTCGCGCGTTCCGAGGTTCGGAGGTGAACGGGACACCCACCACCCGCCAACCGCCAACTTTGCAGACGTCTCGGAAGTGTGAAAGGCCTAATAGGTGCTCGCTAACGCCTTCATACATAGAGGACTGCAGTGCTTGGGCAATCGTTGGTATCTGCGCTTCCTCCTTCTCGCACCTCTCAACTTTAAACTATGTCGCTCTTTTTTTCAGAAGCGACCTGGCCATCATAAATGATAGCTTATCATCATCATCATCACCATCATGATGTGGAAATTCATAACAGCAGCCAAAGACTCTAAACGCGTGACGTTGATTCTAAATGTGGCGGGATAAAACCGGAGGACCCGGAGACAAATCCACGCGACCATGGGGAGAGAGAGACACCACAAATTCCAAATTAACAGCAGGCAATGTCAGGGTCGGGATCGAACCCACGACCTCCTGTATACCAGGCGAGGCAGTTAACGATATGAAATGATCATTTATTATTATTTCTAATTTGTCTCTCCTAACAAAAATACAGTATTTTTGTTTAAACATCCCATCAGCCAAACGGCCTTTTGGGAGTGCATCTCATCAACAGCACTGGTTTAACACAAACAAAACTCTGGACCGGTTTCGATATTCCGTGTCTCATCAGCAGCAGCAGCAGAGTCAGACTTTGCTTGCACCAATGCTTGGCGAACTGCCCCAGATGTTCATAGGGCAAGGGGCCCTCTCTGGTAGACCTGGCCCCTTGCCCAGGTAAATCATTAACGAGGTTTGGTAAACAAACACACAATGTGCAATCAATGAGTTACTAGCTATTGAAGAGGGATGCTGCTCATGACAGAAGCACGTTTTCGTGGAAGTCCAAGAGAAGCTAAAATTGAAAACCCAACACAAACTCCATTGTCTGGTCAACTCGTTTAGGGGGGCGCCGAGGATAACGGCAGAGAGGGGGGTTAATTATTGAGTTCATTGTGCCACTATCTGCAGCGAGATGATTACTCTTTGATTTCAATCCACTCGTTCACCCATTGAAGCCTCACCAAAGAGTCTCGAGACTCCCCTTTGTTCAGGGGGGGGGGGGGTCCTGCCAGAATGATAAACAAAAATTTGCCCTCGTGTCACTTTTAAAATTTACCAAACTCGCCGACTGCGTCACCACCGCCACCCCTGGCGGTGCGCGACGGCCCCCCCCGCCACTCTCCCACTGACCGCGACGGCCCCCCGCCACTCTCCTTCTGACCGGCGCCACTCTGGGCATCGCCAGCGCACGCCGCGAGGCAGCAAGGAAGCGCGCCTCGTGGTCACCGCACCCGCAGCGTTAACCGGGGCGGCCACCCAAATTCGAACCGGCCGCGACGAGCGGCCGGCGACGCTGCCGCCCGCCGTGCCGCAGCGTCGCTGGCCGGGCCACCCCCCCCCCCCCCCCCGACTTCGCTCGCCCCCCCCAACCCTCGGCCCGCTCGCGATGTCGCCCGGCCACGAGCGGTCCAAGCGACCTCCCGGCTCGGCCACGCCACGCGACGACCGCTGAACCGAGGGGGCCGAGCGACCGCAGTGGAGGGCAGGGGGAGGGCGGGGCTCACGCTTTTGGGCAGTGTGAAGGAGGTCCACAGGGGCATGCGGTAATCCTCGCTGTAGGCGCTCTCGAAGCCCGTGTGGTGCAGCAGGCAGTAGCGCGTGTCCAGCAGCACCCTGGGGCGGCCGAACGGTAAGTGGTGATTATCTGCAAACAGACATCGTCGTCATCGCCATCATCATCATCGTCATCATCATCACCACCATCATCATCGCCATTATCATCATCATCGCCATCATCGTCATCATCATCGCCATCATCATCATCGCCATCATCATCATCGCCATCATCACAAGCTTCATGGGCCCCAAACCCTGAGCTGCATCCGCACACAAACTACAGCAGCCGCAGCCGCTCATTATACTCGGTGACGCTGATGATGATGCACAAATGAGAAATGAAAGATTTCTCCGGACAGTGTGCGGAGACTGTGGTCATAATCCAGAACAGAACCACACGAACGAGGAGGCATCATCATCACCACAGCAGCGATACACTCCATAAACTCACAGTGAGACCCATAGACTCAAAGTGAGACCCATAGACTCACACAGAGACCCATAGACTCACACAGAGACCCATAGACTCACACAGAGACCCATAGACTCACACAGAGACCCATAGACTCACATAGAGCCCTACAGACTCACAGTGAGACCCATAGACTCACATAGAGCCCTACAGACTCACAGTGAGACCCATAGACTCACACAGAGACCCATAGACTCACACAGAGCCCTACAGACTCACAGTGAGACCATAGACTCACACAGAGACCCATAGACTCACACAGAGCCCTACAGACTCACAGTGAGACCCATAGACTCACACAGAGACCCATAGACTCACATAGAGCCCTACAGACTCACAGTGAGACCCATAGACTCACACAGAGACCCATAGACTCACACAGAGACCCACAGACTCACACAGAGACCCATAGACTCACACAGAGACCCATAGACTCACAAAGAGGCCCTACAGACTCACAGTGAGACCCATAGACTCACAGTGGGACCCATAGACTCACACAGAGACCCACAGACTCACACAGAGACCCACAGACTCACACAGAGACCGATAGACTCACAGTGAGACCCATAGACTCACACAGAGACCCATAGACTCACACAGAGACCCACAGACTCACACAGAGACCCATAGACTCACACAGAGACCCATAGACTCATACAGAGACCCATAGACTCACACAGAGACCCATAGACTCACACAGAGCCCTACAGACTCACAGTGAGACCCATAGACTCATACAGAGACCCATAGACTCACACAGAGACCCATAGACTCACACAGAGCCCTACAGACTCACAGTGAGACCATAGACTCACACAGAGACCCACAGACTCACACAGAGACCGATAGACTCACAGTGAGACCCATAGACTCACACAGAGCCCTACAGACTCACAGTGAGACCATAGACTCACACAGAGACCTATAGACTCACAAAGAGACCGATAGATTCACAGTAAGACCCATAGACTCACACAGAGACCCATAGACTCACAAAGAGACCGATAGATTCACAGTAAGACCCATAGACTCGCACAGAGCCCTACAGACTCACAGTGAGACCCATAGACTCACAGTGAGACCCTACAGACTCACACAGAGCCCTACAGACTCACAGTGAGACCATAGACTCACACAGAGACCTATAGACTCACAAAGAGACCGATAGATTCACAGTAAGACCCATAGACTCACACAGAGACCCATAGACTCACACAGAGACCCATAGACTTACAGTGAGACCCATAGACTCGCACAGAGCCCTACAGACTCACAGTGAGACCCATAGACTCACACAGAGACCCACAGACTCACACAGAGACCCATAGACTCACACAGAGACCCACAGACTCACACAGAGACCCACAGACTCCACACAGAGATCTATACGAAGGCGTCATCATCACAGCTGCGATGATTCCCCACTAGGCTACCCCTCCTGACGAAATCATCACGCTCATCGACCACCTCGGTGTATAATCCCACATGCTCGTCATCAATGTCAGCCACACGGAGAACTATATACCACCACCACCATACCGCCACCATACCGCCACCATACCACCACCATCACCATCATCATCATCGTCATCTTGGGTAAAGCAACAGTCTGCAAGGTGGCGCAAGCTCTGTTAATGGCGATGAGACAATCGGACTCGAGAATAATGGCAACGCCTTGACACCGTTATCACTGTTATCACGAGAGATAATGCGGATTTGCAGAGCTGACGTCACGAGCCCGCTGTCAGATGCCCTTTCTGGGGGTGCGAGACGGGGCCAGGTGAGTTTATAGAAAGTAAATAATCGCAAATAGAAATGAAGCACGGAGCACGTCAAGTTACTCTCTCTCATCAAACCCTACGTAGTTATTAACATTGTACATTGTTCAACGACTGAGAATAAAAGGGTTTCAAGGCTGCAGTAAAGGTCAAGAACCACTGGGCTAGAGACCACGTGGTTCCACAAGCGACCTCTTCGTGACGTCATTCATCACGGGTCACCGTCTCGTCATCATCACGGTGCATCGTGGTTCTTCAAGCGACCTCTTCGTGACGTCATTCATCACGGGTCACCGTCTCGTCATCATCATCACGTTGCATTGTGGTTCCACAAGCGACCTCTTCGTGACGTCATTCATCACGGGTCACCGTCTCGTCATCATCATCACGGTGCATTGTGGTTCATCAAGCGACCTCTTCGTGACGCCGTATATGAATCCCCCGTTGGTTACGTGACTCCGAGCTTGTTCCGTATTATCCGTATTCTGGCGTTCCTTCCGTGACCAAAAAATGCTTCCTATATAAAAAATAAATATATAACAAAATGACCACCGTCTCGTATTCGCGTGCATTGCGGTGGCGGGATGTTAACTACCTCGCCTGGTATACAGGAGGTCATGGGTTCAATCCTGACCTTGCCGCCTGCTGCATATTTAGAGCTTGTGTATCTCCCTCCCCGTGGTTGGGTGGATTTTTCTCCGGGTCCTCCGGTTTTGCCCACCACATTTAGAATCAATAATCACGCGATTTAGAGTCTTTGACTGCAATAAACCTCCACGTGATGATGACGATGGTAAGCCTCTTCGTCGGGCTATCATTTGTGATGGCCCACGTCGCTTCTGAGAAAGAGCTACGTAGCAGCAGCTAAGTGCGGCCTTAAGAATGAGTTTAGCGTATATTGAGTCATCGTTAGGCATGTCAACTTCGCCATGCATGACGATGCCTAATGCAGCGCTGGGTGTTTGTATTTGTTCATTCCAAATGCTGGCGGGATAACCCCTGGAGCCACCGAGCCCGGTTCTCTACCCCCTCTTCAAAGTTCCCTTCACATCGAATCAACGGATCACAACTCTACGAGCGTCATCATCATCGCACACCCCGCCGTTCCCCCCCCATATGGCCTGTAACAGGCTGTGGGGGGCAAGTGCTGTTAGGAGCACCTATGAAGACTGGCACGGCAGATGAAGGGGGTGAGTGGGTGGCCAGCAACCACGCCCCGCCGCCTTTGTTTCCCTAGTGGCGATGTTTATTACGCACCGCACCAGGTACTCGTTTGAGGCTGAGTCGACCAAGGGGAGGCCCGGGTTCATAGCGGGGCGCGCGAACCGCTACACTACTGCTCCCCACGCGACTGGCCCGATGCACCACAAAGACAAAGACAGACACCACACAGGCGCACAGACACACAGACACACAGGCGCACAGACACACGATGCACAGACACACAGACGCACAGACACACAGACGCACAGGCGCACAGACGCACAGACGCACAAACGCACAACACACAGACGCACAACACACAGGCGCACAGACGCACAGACGCACAGACACACAGACGCACAGACGCACAAATGCACAGACACAACACACAGACGCAAAGACACACAGATGCACAGGCGCACAGACGCACAGACACACAGACGCACAGACGCACAACCCACAGGCGCACAGACGCACAGGCACACAGACGCACAGATGCACATACGCACAGACGCTCAGGCAGAGACACAACGCACAGACACACAGACGCACAGGCACAAAGACACAACGCACAGGCGCACAGACGCACAGACGCACAGACACAACACACAGATGCTCAGGCACAGACCCAACACACAGATGCACAGACGCACAGACGCACAGGCGCACAGACGCACAGACACACAGACACACCACACAGACACACACACACAGGCACACAGACACAGATGCACAGACGCACAGACACAGACACACACACACACAGACACAGACGCACAGATGCACAGACACAATACACAGACACACAGGCACACAGGCACACAGACACAGACGCACAGACGCACAGACACAGACACACAGGCACACAGGCACACAGACACACAGGCACACAGACGCACACACACACAACAACAACAACCGCCATTCGCCACTAAGTGTCGGTGACGTCACCACGACGCTTGTGCCAGGCTATGTGCACCCTGAGGCCACGTGAAGTCTCGAACGCCCGCTGGCAGGAGGTCACGGGGCAGACCCAGGTGCCACGGGTCGACTGACTGAGATGACTGGCTGGTGCACCACCTGTGCCCCCTACTGTGCCAACCTGCTGTGCTTTAGCCACCCGGCGCTCCGCTCGTTATTCTGAGTGTCGCTCCTCCGCCCTCTGTTGTTGTTGGAGGGCGACTACCTCCAACTGCCCAGTAGCGTCCTTCACGAGCCTCCTCCACAGAGGCCGATCTTGACACCGCTGGTACCAGTCATCGGCAAGTCCACTCAACTCCACGTCCTCCTGTACCACATCACTCCATCTCTTCTCTAGCCCGTGCCGCGCCCGCTTAGCCCCCTCAATCCGGCCGAACAAAAGCTGTTTCGGCATGTGGTGGCTGGGCATGCGGGCTACATGACCCAGCCATCGCAGCCTTCCCCGCCGGAGGAGCTCACCGATGGGACGTTGCCCAGATCTTTCAAGGATTTGTGAGCTCCTCACACAATCCAGTCTGGTTAAACCCAGGATGGATCGTAGGCAGGCCAGCCTAAATGTTTCTAATCGGTGAAGATGTTCCATTAGGGGGGTCCACGTTTCGCAAGCGTAGAGAAGGGAGGGAATGACCGTGGCCGAGAAGACCTGAAGCTTAGTACGGAGCGACAGACCAGGTAGCTTCCACATAGCGTAACGCAACCGATAAAAAGATATTGCCGCTCGACTGATTCGGAGTGAGACCTCTGCTGTTAAACTGGAGCCAGCCATAAGCACACTGCCCAGGTATGGGAAACTCTCCACTCTCTCCACAACTGCCCCATCACCGATTGGGAGTTGTGGGGGTGGAGTGTCCGATGGTACAAAATACCCAGGCAGGTGCTTAGTTTTGGTGGGGCTGATGGTAAGGCCCCACCTCTTAGTGGCACGCTCCAGTCTCAGCAGCAGCGTCTCCAACTCCTCCTCTGAATGAGCAGCTATTACCAAATCATCAGCATACACACACACACAGACACAGACGCACAGACACACAGACACACAGGCACACAGGCACACAGACACAACACACAGACACACAGGCACACAGGCACACAGACACACAGGCACACAGACACACAGACACACAGGCACACAGGCACACAGACACACAGGCACACAGACACACAGACACACAGGCACACAGACACACAGGCACACAGACACACAGACACACAGGCACACAGGTGCACAGACACACAGACACACAGGCACACAGACACACAGGCGCACGGCGACAGACGGACGCAGCTCGCTCATCGGCGCGTTTCAAACGGCGAGGTGGGATGCAAGGCAGGGGAGGGGGGCTCAACGCACCTTGCGGGACGGAGTTGAGCAGCTGGCGGTTGAGCGAATCGGCTGGGTACGACTGTAACAAAGAAGCAGAGAGGAGCGTGTCAGCGGCGCTGGTGTCGCTGGCGGCGTTAGCGACGGCCTCTCCCCCCGTACGACAGCCTCCTGCGTCGTTGTTGTTGGGGCAGCCACGCGCGTTTTCAGACGCGCTCCCGCGGCCGTCTGGAACGCTCTTCCCTAAAGATATTCGGAAGCTGCTGCGAGCAACGCAACTTTAAAATCATCTTCTCGATTGACAAAGTAAATTCTTTAGATCTGCATGTGGTTGTTGTTGTTGTCTTTAGTTTGTCGCCATTCCCCCCCCGCACCCCCGATTAGCACGGTTGGCTACGTGCTGTGCGAAAGAAGTTCAACATACAGCACATGAGTGCCACCTGGTGACACCTGCCGTGGTAACACTCGCACCTCACGGCAACAAAAATTCCTGTGGTTCGATTCCCGACTCTGGCGCCTCTCTACATGTAGTCTGCTAAACAACAAGAAAAAAACATCGATGATAGAGGCTTTGTCGAGGTTAGAGCGCGTTAAACCCGCCACCACCACCTCACACAGCCAATGAGTAAGGTTTGTAACGGAAACAAAACGTGGCAATCAGTCGCCTGGCAAGGCTGGTTGTTGTAATTACCGGTGTAAACGTCATGCTACTCGAATTATAAACGTTGTAGTAAGTTTACTCTGCAACACACAACCGGTAAAGTGCTCATCTGGATAACGTATTGGGCACAGCTTTGTTTTCGTGACAAACCCTTGAGTGTTTAGCTGTGTCGGGTAGTCGTGGTGGCGGGTTCAATGGCACATTTATATTTATGCGATCTATCCCAAAAAATATCTCTAGTATGGATAATATTGGTTGCGCAAACCCACGACTAGGTGTTAAACCAACAACAAAAAACCAAGCAACTGGCAGTGGCCAAAGATCCTCATGCCAAATGACTCATTTGTGGTTTCACAGCAGCAGCAGCAGCAGCGGCAGCACGATCGCTTGGTCCTTGCGACATAATGAGCCTCCTGAGAATGAGACTTGAGACTCTGCGAGGCTTAGTCTGAGTTTTGAACGAGCAGAGTAACGACGACAACAACAATAAGAGTAATGTACACGTGAAATAAAAACTCACTTTAATGTGGAATCAATATTGCGGCCTAAACATTGTCGCTGTAGCCGGCGGACGAGCAAGCGACACGCAGCCGGGAGATCTGGGAACCACAGTGGCTCGGAGATGTTAACTACCTCGCCTGGTATACAGGAGGTCACAGGTTTCATCCCGACCCTGACGCCTGTTGTATATTTTTAGCTTGTGCGTGTCTCTCTCTCTTTCCCCATGGTCGCGTGGATTTTTCTCCGGGTACTCCGGTTTTTCCCTTCCACATTGAGGATCGACGTCACGCGTTTAGAGTATTTGGCTGCTATAGATTACCACGTGATAAGCCACGTGGTTTAGCTCTCATTTGTGATGGCGTGGGACGCTTTTAAAAAAGATCTACACAGCTCAGTGGGCCTGACCTGGTCAAATACAAAATGGTTAAGTTTATCTCGCGAGTTCGCATCCCGATTAGGCGGTCAACTCAGCCCATCATCATCCCTTCCTTCTCTCCGGGGTCGATACAATCGGCACCACTTTGCGGGAATTCAATAGCGGTCGTACTATGGGGTATACTCCCCCTCGCCATAGGAATGTGGAATTTCCACGACTGGGTTTTTTGTCAGGGCTGCGAACGGGAGTTGAGCACCCGTGCCTCAATGCCTGATTGAGCCGCGTTGGGGTGAGTGGAGAGCGAGTGGTGGAGTGAGTTGGTGTGAGTGGGGAGCGAGTGGTGGGGAGCAAGCGGGGGGGTGGGTTGGGGTGAGTGGGGAGCAAATGTGGGAGTGAGCGGGGAGTGAGCAGGGGTGAGTTGGGGGGCAATCTGGGTGCGAGCGGTGGGGGGTGAGTTGGGGGCAAGTTGGGGGGCAAGCGGAGGGTGAGCACGGGGCGAGCGGAGGGTGAGCCAGGGGCGAGCGGGAGTGAGTTGGGGCAAGCTGGGGGCGAGCGGAGGGTGAGCGGGAAATTAGCGGGGAGTTAATGGGGTGAGTTGGCGTGAGCGGGGCGTTGAGTGGGGGGGGGGGTATGAGCGGGGGGGGGGTGAGCGAGGGGGTGAGTGGGAGGGGGGGGGCGGTGAGCGGGGGGGGGGGTGAGCGAGGGGGTGAATGGGGGGAGGGGGTGAGTGGGGGGGGGGGTGAGCAGGGGGGGGTGAGCGGGGGGGGTGAGCGGGGGGGGGTGAGCGGGGGGGGGGTGAGCGGGGCGTTGAGTGGGGGGTGAGCGGGGGGGGTGAGTGGGGGGTGAGTGGGGGGGCAATCTGGGTGCGAGCGGTGGGGGGTGAGTTGGGGGCAAGTTGGGGGGCGAGCGGAGGGTGAGCACGGGGTGAGCGGGAGTGAGTTGGGGCAAGCTGGGGGCGAGCGGAAGGTGAGCGGGAGGTGAGCGGGGAGTGAATGGGGTGAGTTGGCGTGAGCGGGGGGGGGGTGAGCGGGGGGGGGGGGGTGAGCGGGGCGTTGAGTCGTGGGGGGGGTGAGCGGGGGTGGTGTGAGCGGGGGGGGTGAGCGGGGGGGGGGGGTGAGCGGGGTGTTGAGTGGTGGGGGGGGTGAGCGGGGGGGGTGTGAGCGGGGGGGTGAGCGGGGGGGGGTGAGCGGGGCGTTGAGTGGTGAGGGGGGTGAGCGGGGGGGGTGTGAGTGGGGGGGGGGTGAGCGGGGGGGTGAGTGGGGGGGTGAGCGGGGCGTTGAGAGGGGGGGGGTGAGCGGGGGGGTGAGTGGGGGGGGGTGAGCGAGCTCCGTGCCGCCGGTACCCCGGGGTCGCATTCGCACTGCGGGTCCTCATCGGCCGCGACGGTGGCCGGGCACGAGGCCGGCTTGGAGACCTCTTCGGGCAGCGCCGGCCGGTGCACCGGCCTCCGCAGGAGGTGGTTCAGGCTGCCGTGCGTGCCGTTGTTCGGCATGGGCATCACTCCCAAGAGGTCTACGCGAGGCACAACACGCAAAGTCCCACCCCCACCACCGAGCGCACCGTCAGCGCACGCGCAAACATCACCGCAAACGGACTGTCGGGGCTGGTGCTGTTAGCGTGCGGTAGCTAAGAAGGCCGGGACGGCACACGAGGGGGTGGGTGGCCAGCACCACGCCCGGCCACCTTTGTCTCCCCAGTGGCGATGTTTACACACCGCACCATGCACTCATTAAAGGCTGAGTCGACCTAGGGGGAGGCCCGGGAACGATTCGGATAATCGTCACCGGTGCTGACTGTGAGCAGGAATTGAACTCGGGCCGCCAGGTTAAAAGTCCAGCACGCTAACCGCGACACTACCGCTCCCCACAACACGCACCCTGACACACACACATGTGTGGTGGTCATCCCCTGTCTATATAGCCCTGCAGAGCCAGTGTTGGAAATTACACATTCCTATGGCAGGGGCAAACCGCTGTTTACTCCTCCACAAAGTAGTACCCTATTTTATCTCCCCATTCCCCGCAGGGAGGAAATGATGATGGGCTGCATTAACGACCCCCAGCCCACCCCAGGCAGGATGTGAACTCGTGACCTTTTTCTTGCGAGCCGCTCGCTTTGCCCCCCCAGGAGAGTTGGTGTAGTCGGCACGACGGAGGAGGAGGGAGGAGTGAGGAGGAGGAGGAGTGAGGAGGAGGGGGAGGAGGAGTCATGCGCTCACCACACATGAGGTTGTAGAGCTCGATGTTTTCCACTGCGTCCACCTCCGTCTTGTATTTGAAGCTGGGACCGTATCCAATGAAGACTGCCTACAAAGCAAACACCGCCATCGTCATAATCATCATCGTCATCATCATCATTGTCATCATCATCGGCATGATCATCATCGTCGGCATCATCAACGTCGTCGGCATCATCAACGTCATCGGCATCATCATCGTCATCATCATCATCATTGGCTACAATCAATCAGTTCTATCGCTGCTCCAAGTGGGCACCACCCCCGTGCCGCGTGGCACCGCCCCCGTGCCGCGTGGCACCGCCCCCGCGCCGCGTGGCACCGCCCCCGCGCCGCGTGGCACCGCCCCCGCGCCGCGTGGCACCGCCTCCGAGCCGCGTGGCATCGCCCCCACGCCGCGTGGCACCGCCCCCGCGCCGCGTGGCACCGCCCCCGCACCATGTGGCACCGCCCCCCTGCCGCTTGGCACCGCCCCCGTGCCGTGTGGCACCACCCCCGCGCCGCGTGGCACCGCCCCCACACCACGTGGCACCGCCCCCGCGCCGCGTGGCACCGCCCCCGTGCCGCGTGGCACCGCCCCCGGGCCGCGTGGCACCGCCCCCGCGCCGCGTGGCACCGCCCCCGCGCCGCGTGGCACCGCCCCCGCACCGTGTGGCACCGCCCCCCTGCCGCTTGGCACCACCCCCGCGCCGCGTGGCACCGCCCCCACACCACGTGGCACCGCCCCCGTGCCCGTGCGGCGTGCCACTCACCTGCATGCTCTCGTAACGGTTGTCGTAGCCGTGCTCCCCAGAGAGGTAATCCTTGTCGCCGCTCTCCTTCCTGAAAGCAACGACGCGCACGCGGGGCGGACCGTCACAGCTTTGTACAGACGTCCCGCAGGTCAAGAGCGGACAAAAAAAACAAAAAAACGCAAGCAGCAGAGGCGTCTCGTTCCGACGACACGTTACCCGGTGACACCGCTGCTGCGCAGAATGAACAGCCGAGCGGAATGAACATCTGCTGTAGCAGCAGACCGATGTTCAGACCAGTGTTAGTACTGTAGTCCGAGCAGCGGCAGCACGAACAGAGCACCGCGGCAGCTAAAATCTTGAGCCAGCGGAAGTCTGCGGTGAGGCCAGATTGAAGGATGTGTGGTCATCCACGGTGGGGCAGGCCGCCAGACGATGTCAGACTCACTGCTGAGCTGCGTGATAGCTGCAGTCAGGGGCACGGTGGCACACGAGTGACACCTCTCCCACAGGCCTACCTCTCCCGGTAGTACTTGTTGTCAGACAGCTGAAGAAACTGAACTGTGGCTCATTTGAAGGCCAATGTAAACAAATTGTTATCGAGGCTTCACCCCCCCCCCCCCCCCCCCGTTTCCTATGCGTATACACATTGTTAGTAGATCCCCCCATACGCAAGCGAACGCATTTGGGTTAACCTCCCCTCCCCCCTCCATGCCTGCGTACTAAATGGATGGCCCCTAACGGCTTCCTCCTCGACGCGGGCGCGTCGGTGAGCCACCAACCCTTGCTCGCCACCTCCACGGCACCAGATTGCCCGGCCGCTCGCAAGTCGCCCATCGCCGCACGCAACGCTTACTTGTCCACCAGCCAGCGCTCGTCCACAAAGAGGTGGATGTCCTCGATCCGGCGGTTGAAGGCGTAGTGCAGCCTCTTGGGCAGGTGCTGCTTGAGGTACGGCCGGAAGTGCTGATCCGGTCTTCGGCACTGGGACGAGCGGCGAGAGGGGCGAGGCATCGTCACCCGGTTCGGTCGCACCGCCGGTCCGTGCGTGTGTGTGTGTGGTGAGCGGTAGTGTAGCGGTTAGCGCTACCGACCCGGCGAACCGGTGACCCGGGTTCGATTCCCGCTCACTGCCAACGCCAGTGGCGATTATCGGAATTGGTCCTGGGCCTCCCCTAGATCGACTCAGCCTGGAATGAGTATCTGTTGTGGTGTGTAAACATTGCCACATTGTGTGCCATGCCAGCCTTCAAAGGTGCTGCTCGCTAACATCACAGTTTGAACGGATGAATTTTGCCTTTGATGTTTGCATGTGTGTGTGCTCGCATTTGGTGATGTGTGCGCTGTGTGTACACATGCATGTGTGTGTGCTCGCATGTGGTGATGTGTGCGCTGTGTGTGCGCATGCATGTGTGTGCGTGTGTACGTATGTATGTTAAACTTTTTTCGCACCGTACATAGATAACCATGCTAATCGGAAGGGCACCTAAACTAAAAAGTTAACTTTTTATTTTACCAGATAAGGCCCACTGAGCTTCATAACGCTTTTTGTCGAAGCGACTTGCCTATCACAAATGATAGCTCAACAAAGTGGCTTATCATCATCACGTGGAAATGAATAGCAGACAAATACTCTATAAACACGTGATGTTCATTCTAAACGCCTAGGGAACAAACATAGGACCCGGGGAATATACAGCAGGCGTCTCAGGGTCGAGATCGAACCCACGAACCCTCCTGCATACCAGGCGAGGTCGTTAACATCTCCTAGCCGCGGCACGAGACGGAGAGGAAAAGCAAACTCACAGTTAAGTTCGCCATGACAGCCTTTTGGTCGACTAGGGAGACAGAGGGGAGAAGTGAACAACAACAACACACGGGGTAAAAATGACGGCAGGTGCCGATGCACAACACCCGGGCTACTGCACTCAGCACTCTGCACACGGTGGCGATGACGACAACGTCAACAACTACCGGGGCTAACCATGCTCTGATACTTGCATTGCCCTTGTGCTGTCCGCGTTTATTGTCATCGTTCACTGGTCATAATGAAGGCTGCCGTCTCTGGTGTAGGCCAATCAGTTTCAAAGACAATGCATACATTACCAGAGCACGTTCGTCTGCATGTTTTGCCGTATGTGTGGTCAATGCAGCCTTGATGCCTTGCAAAAGGTTTATATTTGGTGTATGAACATCTTAACACCTCCTGTTTAATTGTCAGAAAAGGTGAAACCTATTGTTACTATATTTTTTATAATTTTGGATATTGGCAATGTCATGTATATAGATCTGCTTGACCCGAGCTATAAGTGTTCTGATACTTTCATTCCACTTGTGCTGTCCGCCTTTTGGCGTCGTTCTCCAGTCGAACACCGGTGATGAGACAAGGCCAAGGCTGCTGTTTCTGGTGTTGTATTATTATTATCAGAGGATGCGTGTTTGCATGTATAGCCGGTATGGGCTTAATGTCATAAATCACACGTATAATTGTGGAGTTAATGATGACCATGGATTGGACCCATAGACTCACGTGACTGCACAGTAGGCCACACCCACCAGTGGAGTAATCAATTCAGAGTACAGGGCATCTATTCCAATTCGGATGGAAGCTGTACAGGGATTAAGCAGTGAGGTGCTGTGTAACGTGGGGTCGACTGGTGTGCACCTGGTCGTAACGGATGTTCCTCAGAGGAACCCTTTGAAATAAAGAGTTGCCGTTCCACAACCCTCTGGTGGTGGAGTTACTCGACCCTCCAGAGGAAGGGAAGAAAACAACGCAGGAGTATTCGCTCGTTGCCACGGAACTCGCCTATCGTCGTTATCACACGTGCTTTTGCCACAGGTGTGGTTCATGCAGACGTGATGATGCCTTGCAATAGGTGTTGTCTGTTTGGTGTTTGAACATCTTAACACCTTCCGTTTTGAGCCTATTCTCAGAATTGTGATATCACACAAAGACAAAGATCCCCCGTATAGCCGGTAACAGACTGTTGCGGCAAATTCTGTTAGCCGGAAAGTAGCACCGATGAAGGTCGGCACTGTAACACATGAGGGGGTGGGGAGACAAAGGCGGCCGGGCGTGGTTGCTGGCCACCCACCGCCTTGTGTGCTGTGCCGGCCTTCGTAGGTACTCGCTAACAGCACTTGCCCCTACAGTCTGTTAAGGCTATACGGGGGATCTTTGTTTTTAATAAAGTATTAAAGCTTTCGTGACTGCATAAAATGACTCATGTTTGATGAAATACAATAAAATTATATTAAAACAAAAAACAATCACGACGTTTCGATCACAACGCAAGCGATCTTCATCAGGTGTCAAGAACAAATCACGGAGGTAATTACAACAAAAAGCTGAGAGACGAGAATTTAACAAACCTAAAAACATTATGTGAAGCACATCCAGTCAGGCCAACAACACAGTTAGACACTTCCTGGCGGACCACGAATTTCAGAGGAGTGTTAAATTTCGTCTAACTGTGTTGTTGGCCTGACTGGTTGTGCTTCACATAATCTTTTTTCAGGTTTGTTGAATTCTCGTCTCTCATCTTTTTGTTGTATTTACCTCCGTGATTTGTTCTTGACACCTGATGAAGATCGCTTGCGTTGTGATCGAAACGTCGTGAATGTTTTTTGTTTTAATATAATTTTATTGTATCTTTGTCTTTGTTTAGCTACGGCAGGGAAATCCAGAGAACCCGGAATAAAACCACAGCAGAGCAGGGGGGAGGGAGAGCGACAATCGCTGCTGCTGCGTATATCGCACTGAGTGCGTTACCGAGTGATGTCCAGAACCTTTGCGGGATAAATTTCGATTTAAAGCTTTCGTGACTGCAAGGATTCATCTTCTTTGGTTTGTTCGGTAAAGTCACCACGTAGAATGAGAATAAAATAATAAATTGATAAAATAAAATAACACAATAAAATTCTCACGACGTTTTGGCCACAACATAAGCGGCCATTTCTGTGACCAGTCACAAGCTAATCACTCAGCTATTTCAATGCTAATTTGTATGCTAATTCCTTTTGTCAAGGCGCTTGGTTTCTTCTCACACAGCTTAAAGGTCGCGGTCTGAGCTTGGCTGTGTTCGCTCCAGCGCTGTCCTCCAGACAGTCTCGTCCCTTCACCTGATGAAGGCCGCTTGTGCTGTGGCTGAAACGTCGTGAGAATTTTATTGTGTTATCAATTTATTATTTTATTCTCATTCTACGTGGTGGTGACTTTACCGAAAGAACCAAGACTTTGCGGGACACTTTTGGAAGTAGGATGCTGGCGAGGCAATCGCCTGCTCTCGCCAAGGAAGGACTTTGGCGGAGAACATTGTTTGGGTAACCCGCGCCGTCGCTGAACAAAACAGCGACGCCGCTGGCAGCGAACGCGGAGCAACGACAACAGTGAAAGTACTGTACAAGCACTGTACAAGCACAGTGCAAGTACTGTACAAGCGCAGTACAAGCACTGTGCAAGCACTGTACAAACACAGCGCAAAGCACTGTACAAGCACAGTGAAAGTACTGTACAAGCACTGTACAAGCGCAGTACAAGCGCTGTATAAGCACTGCACAAGCACAGTGCAAGTACTGTACAAGCGCAGTACAAGCACTGTATAAGCACAGTGCAAGTACTGTACAAGCGCAGTACAAGAACTGTCCAAGCACAGTGCAAGTACTGTACAAGCGCAGTACAAGCACTGTACAAGCACAGTGCAAGTACTGTACAAGCGCTGTATAAGCACTGTACAAGCACAGTGCAAGTACTGTACAAGCGCAGTACAAGAACTGTACAAGCACAGTGCTAGTACTGTACAAGCGCAGTACAAGCACTGTACAAGCACAGTACAAGCGCAGTACAAGCACTGTACAAGCACAGTGCAAGCGCTGTACAAGCAGTGTACAAGCACAGTACAGGCAACTAAAGCACTGTACAAACACTGTACAATAGCAGTACAAGCACTATACAAGTAGAGTACAAGCACAGTACAAGTACAGTACAAGCGCAGTACAAGCACGGGGCCGCCCGGAGTGGGCCTCACAACAGAGCCCCTGACAGGAGGCCTGGCTTTGTGTCACTAACGACTGAAGGGGGCCCAGCTCCCCCTCGCCCACGGTGCCTCCGGGAGCTTCGTGCGAAGGCCGCCCTGCGTAAAAGCACGGTTCTGCTATAAGCGACGCATGCCGACTCTACACCGGTGCCGGAAGGCCGAGGGGATCTCCTGATGCAACTCCTTAAGACAACCCTACAGATGTGAAGCACGCTGGGACGCACCAGACTCTCGGCTGTAACTCCGCTGAGCGCTGTTCCTCGCGGCGGGACAGCGGTCGGCGCTATCATCCCGGCGGCCCGAGTTTGGTTTCCGCTCACGGCCATGAATTCCAGTGGCCATTGTCTGAACCGGTCCCGGGCCTCCCCTAGGTCGGCTCGGCCTCAAGTGGCGCTGGCCAATCCACCGCCCCCCGTGATAGGCGGGCCGTGTCAGCCTTCGTCGGTGCTCGCCGACAGCACTTGCCCACAAAAGAGTTCGGTTGATTATAAAGTGAGCTAAGAAGCTCTTAGGTAGGGTTTCATCAATAAAAAACACACACATTCAACATCCTGTCGAGGCTACAAGGGGGGGTGGAGGGGATCTTCGTCTGTCCGTCCGTGCATCAGCGCGCGCGGGGAATCTTTGTCTATGTGTGTGTGTGTGCCTTGACGTGCACATAGCCTGACACAAGCGCCGTGGTGACATCACCGCCACTTAAGTGGCGAATGATGGTGGTTGTTGTTGTGTGTGGGCGAGTTGGCAATGGGTGCGATGCTCACACGTCTGGTGGCCGCCAGCGGCGGCGGCGTTGGGGTGGATGCGTGCCGACGAGCCGTGGATGAGCTCAAAGTTGTCGACGTTGGTGAGGTAGGAGCTGAGGAACTCCACACGGCTGCGGCTCACGTCAGCCATGCCTGCGTACACACGTGGCGACACCGCACCCTCCGAGGTTTAGTCCGAACTCCAGAAAAAAAACACTAAAGTTTTTAATGTCGTTTTTAGAATCGGAGGACCCAGAGTAAAAATCCACGCGACCACGGGGAGAGAGTCAGAGACACGCAAACTCAAAAAAATGACAGCAGGTGTCAGGGGAGGTTAAGGTGGTTACGGGGTGAGCTCGGGGACAAGAAGTGAGTGTTGAGTGAGGAGCGGAAACGAGGTGAGCAGGGAAGGCCCCACTGAAGCTATCATGGGGCTCTGTTAGGCCTTCACGGACGAGGGCCCCGTTTGTGCCGCTTCTCGCCAGACCACGTGTAAGCCGGGCAACTGCTGTCCGAACATTTGGACTTGAAGCGACACTGCGAGGACGTTTATTGAAACTAAAACGATGAAAAAAAGCGACTTTGCCCATCACAAATAATAGCTCAACGAAGTGGCTCATCGTCATCATCATCATCGTCGTCGTGTAAAAATGTATAGGAACAGCCAAGTACTGTAAACACGCGTGACGTCAATTCTAAATGTGGAGAGGAGGGAGGAGGAGGGGAAGGAGGAGGGGGGAGGAGGAGGAGGGAGGAGGAGTGTAAGGAGGAGAGAAGGGGGATGAGGAGGGAGGGGAGGAGGCTGTGGTGCGTTACCGTGATCTGACACGAACATGATGTCCACACACTTGTGCAGGTTCCTCTGCTTCAAGCCGTCCATTAGCTTCCCCACTAGCTCGTCCACGTACACGAGGATGCTCTTCACCTGCCGTGCACACGCACATACACACACAAAGACGCCCCATATAGTTTCATCGTTTCATTTATTTTGGTATGGCCCTGTGAGCCATTCGGCTCTTGAATCGGGTGCAACCGCAACAAACAAAAAAAACAAAAACATGAACAAGAAAACATCTTAAAGTGACTATGTGACTGTGCAAACAGAAAATCCAGGAAAAAAAACATCAAAATATTCCTGAAAAAGCACCTGTACACCAACGCTGTGTGCAAAATATCCCAGTTGGATGCAAGTCAAACAACAACAACAAGAAAACTTAGATTAAGGCCATCAGTCTAACTCCATACTACAATAAACAAAAACATGGCCAAACCAACAAACTTTTAGAAATCACCAAAATAAAGACATAAATGCAATGTAACATTGATCATCGGAACTGTGACCGAATTTTTAACAATAAACTACATAAATAAATTATAACACCAAACCCTGGAGCCATATTTTAGGCCACTGAATAGCAGTGGCAGCTAGGGATGTACAACTCCTCTAGAGCGTTTTGAGTGAAGATCTCATAGGTAGTGATTCAAGTTGCAGTTTATTGGCAATAGCATTTCAGACCCTGGGGGCATCAATAGCAAAGTCCCTTCCTCCAGTTTTTGTACGGCAATAGGGAATGTGAAGCTGGTAAATGAGCAAAGACCTGAGGTCAAATTTGTTCTTTGCCTTGCCGGAGTTCACAAGTTCTGCTCGCGAACGTCAGCACTTGCCCCAACAGTCTGTTAAAATCCCTACGGGACATCTATGTCTTTGTGCGTGTGTGCGTGTGTGCATGTGTGCGTGTGCATGTGTGCGCGTGTGTGCGCATCCCTTTCCTGTAACCCCCCCCCCCCACGCGAGCGTCCTTGCCGAGAGCATGCCGTGAACCCCGGTGAAACTCCGCGCTTATCCCTGAGCGTGTCTCGTTGCCATCGGACCCCCCGCCACCGCCACCACCCCCCACGCAAACCTTCGTGTGACCGCCGGATTGTAACCACACGCTGACCTCCACCCCTCCGACCCCCACGCCGGCACAACAAACGTGCTGTCCGTTTCATCTCCACTGGCGCAAGAGCGGGAGGCGAGGGCGAGAGGGAGACAAGCGCAGGCACGTGCGAGATAACGCGGGTCACGTAGATAGCGCCGCATGGGCAGGCAAACAGCGGGGACCGGGGTGGGGGGGGGGACGAGGACGGGGGAGAGCCCCTTTGAAGGGATTAATAATTAAAAGTTCACGAACCTTGAAACTGTTGGGCCCGTAGAGGTGACCGTTGAGGTCCGGTTGCTCCACGTACAGACCGTACACGATGGGCCTGCGGGGCGAGAAGCGAGAGAGGTGGGGGGGGGGGGGGCAAAGGGGGTGGGGGGTTGGAGGGGTACGTGTGTGGGCAGCGTTATGCAACGCATCGAGGGGGCCCAGAAAATAAATTAAAAGGCACAGGTAAGCACCGTGGTTTGCGTTCACAGGGACGTAGACACGCAGCACATCGGGGGGGGGGGGGGGGGGGGGAAATAAGGTGTGAGGCACAGGTGCAAGTAAGCGCCGTGGGGGTTTTTGGTGTAATAGGGACGAGAAGAGGGCAAGAGAAAGACAGAGATTGTAGTGTTCACTACAAACTGTCACTGCACAGGCAAATGTTAACGCTGACCTCAGCGTTGTTGCGTTGCGGGAGGAGGGGGTGGTCAAAGTGTGTTCAGGGAAATACAAAATAATGACACTAAAACCGTAGCAGCGAACACGATGATGTGAATAGTGGCGATCGTCCGCGTTGAATTACCACGTGAGGGTATTTGCCAAAGAGCTCACCGTTCGGCTGGGGGAAGGTCGAGCCAGCGCAGTATCGTGAACACGCGCAGGTCGTGGTTGATGCCGCTAGAGATCGGAGAGAGAAACAAACCTCACGCGTCTCAGCACAAACCATCCTCCCCTCCTCCTCCCCCTCCTCCACAGTGCGTGCGGCTGGGGAATTCAACCAAACTGCTTAAAGATATTTTTCCAGAAGCGACCTGGCCCATCACAAACGATAGGCACAATGAAAGTTGGCTTAGCGTCATCATCATCATCATCACGTAGACATTCATAGCAACAGTCAAAAACTTTGAACGCGTGCAACGTGGAGTCCAAAAAATCCACGCAACCACGGGGAGACAGAGAGATGCAAACTCCAAATATACAGCAGGAGGCGTCGTCAAGGCTCAGAGTTCGAACCCCACGACATTCCTGCATAGCAGGCGAGGTAGTTAACATCTCATCAGGGTAGTGGGAGCCCCTAGGTGGTGGCCTTGAAAGGAAGCACGCCGGGGAGGTTGAACAATGTGATAGAAGAGATGTTTACACCCTTACCTGGCAATAAAACAGAAGTTGAGCTGTTCAAACACCAAATAGATGATACCTATTGCAAGGCATCAACTACCGCATGAACCACACACACTACTTATGGTGAACATGCTCTGATAATTATAGATGGCATTGTCTTTGAAACTGATTGGCCTACACCAGGGACAGAAGCCTTCTGCATGGCCCAGTCTCACTGCCACCAGTGTCAGACCAGAGAACAACAGAAGCCGAACAGTACAAAGACAATGCCACAAGTATCGGAGCATTTATAGCCTGGGGTGAGCAGCTGTATCGTGGGACACTTTTTTCCCAGTATCAAGGTATGAAAAATGAGAACAGGTTTTACCATTTCTAAATGGATAGGCCCGTTATTGCGATACCAAAGACAAAGATCCGCCCGTGTAGCCTGTAGCAGACTGCTGGGGGCAAGTGCTGTTAGCAAGCATCTATGAAGCCTGGCACTATGGCACACGAGGGGGTGGGTCTTCAACACCATGCCGGACCGCCTTTGTCTCCCTACTGGCGATGTTTACACACTGTACCAGGTACTCATTTGAGGCTGAGTCGATCTAGAGGAGGCCCAGGACCGGTTCAATTCATCGTCACCGGTGTTGGCCGTGAGTGGGAATCAAACTCGGTTCGCCGGGTTTATAGTGCAGTGCTAACCGCTACACTACCGCCACACACACACAAAGACAAAGATCCCCCGTGTTGAATTAACACACTGTTGGGGCAAGTGCTGTTATCGAGTAGCACCTGTGAAGGCCGGCACGGCACGCGAAAGGGGTGGGTGGCCAGCACCATGCCTGGCCGCCTTTGTCTCCCCAGTGGTGATGTTTTTGCACATCATTTGAGGCACAGGCACACACACCCACATGTGCCCCTGCTCTTCCCTCTCCCCCCTCCCCTCTCTCTCTCTCTCTCACCTTGGCCAGAAGAAGGTGCTGGACTTCTTGTCTTGCTTCTCCACCGTGATCCAAATCTGTGGGCGCGAAAAAAACAGGCATTGCGTTCTCAGCCACTGGTATTTAGCGGAATGCTAGGTGGCTGGCACCCGGATTGGAACCTGGCCGGCTGGCTGGCACCCGGATCGGAACCTAGCCGGGTGACTGAAGAAGAAGTAGAGGGAAGAAAATTAACAACGGCCATCTCCAAATACATAACAACTCGCCATCTGAATAATAATAATGCAATTTATAACGCGCACAAATTTCCGGACGTAACGGCGGCAACTCAGAGGCGCGGAGCCAAGCTCAGAGTCGCTCGAAAGCATGGTTATAGAGGTGAGTTTTTAAGTGTCTTTTGAAGGAGGTGATTGAGGTGATGCTGCGAATGTGCAGAGGGGTGATAGCGTTCCAGACTGTTGGGGCTGCCACCGAGAAGCGGCACATAGACGTGACCATCCTGGATCTCGGTATCAAGAGGAGGTCGTGAGTCGCGTTGCGCAGGAATTTTGCCGTGTGCTGAGCTGCACAGTCGTCAGTAATGAAGAAAGGTACGGTGGGCAGGCAGATGTGAAGGCACGGTGGCAGAGGCAGGCGATCTTGTATGTGACCCTGCTGGCGATGGGTGGCCAGTGGAGGGCACGGAGAGAGAGGCAAGCGAGTCGAGACGGGGATGAGTGCGGCCAATGACGACGCGTGCCAGATCGTTTTGTCGTCTTTGAAGTTTTTTAGGTTGCCAGTGGAGGTCCGGACTAGGCCGGAGTTGCAATAGTCAAGGCGAGACCCAACTATGCAACATGCCAATGTGTTGGCGATTTCAGTGGAGATGAGAGGACATAGGTGTCTGAGAGCCTTCAGGTGAAAGTTACATGAACTGATGATGTGATTGGTTTGACGGTCGAAGGATAAAGTTGAATCTAGGATGACACCGAGGTAGCTGAAGTGATCGGTGAACCTGATGCTGTGACCAAAGATGTGTATGTGTGCTGGGAGTGCTGATGAGTTGAGACCACTGACTTTTTCGGATTAAGGGCTAGGTTGTGTGCAGTTGCAAGGTGGTGGTACATGAAGAAACGGCACTGTCGGCAATTCACAATTGGACTGGTCCCGCTCCCCCCCCCCCTCGGTACTCAGGGGCGTCCCTCACCCCCCGATACTCAGGGGCTGCCCCCCCCCCCCAGTACTCACTGGCTGCCCCCCCCACCAGCGGTGCTTGAGCTTCTCCTTGCCCCGGTAGGTGAAGGTGGCGTTGAACTCGCTGTCGTAGATGACGTTGTCGATGATGCCGTGGGACTCTGGGTAGAGGCCCTGAGCGGTGACCCGGGCGGGGAGAGGGGGGGGAAAGAGAGAGAGTGAGGGAGGCTGGGAGGGACCGCCGGGCACCGTGTGACGACGCTAAGCCGGCTAGACCCTCGTCCGCGTGTGAGAGCCGTGCATGAGCCTCTCCTCCTCCCCCCCCCCCCCCGGTGCCCCCACCACTCCCTTTTAAAGACGCCCCTCGCGCTCCCGTGGCGAGCGTCGCGTGCGCTTGGTGGCCTCACCGTAACCATGCTGTAGTGATTGGGGAACGTCTTGGTCGGGTACATGGGCCTCAGGTGGCGCGCGCTGGTCCCGCACGTGCCTGGGGAAACGCAACGGAGCGCACGCGCACACACATCCACGCATGAACACACGCACGGCAGCCCCTGAGTCGATTACCCACTGCTGGAGGCCGGCCTTCTGCAGTGACATGGCCGATCTTATTTCCCGGTTTTACCCGGAACCGCGCGGTCGAGGCCACGACACCGAGGATCCACTCCGGGGATCTCACAGAGCAGAGAGAGCCTCCGTGAGGCGCCATGGTGGCTAGGAGATGTTAACTACCGCGGCTGGTACGCAGGAGGTCCAGGGTTCGATCCCAACACTGACGCCCGCTGTACATTTGGAGTACAGTGTGGCTAGGAGATGTTAACTGCCTCGCCTGGTATGTAGGAGGGCACATTCACATAGCTGATCACTCTGCACTACAGCTGTTCACTCTGCGCAGCTGTTCATTCCGCACAACAGCTGTTCATTCTGCACCACAGCTGTTCACTCTGCACCACAGCTGTTCACTCCACACCACAGCTGTTCATTCTGCACCACAGCTGTTCATTCCACACAGCTGTTCACTCCAGACCACAGCTGTTCAGTCTACACCACAGCTGTTCACTCTACACTACAGCTGTTCACTCTACACCACAGCTGTTCACTCCACACCACAGCTGTTCACTCCACACCACAGCTGTTCAATCTACACCACAGCTGTTCACTCCGCACCACAGCTGTTCACTCCACACCACAGATGTTCATTCTGCACTACAGCTGTTCATTCCACACAGCTGTTCACTCCAGACCACAGCTGTTCACTCTACACCACAGCTGTTCACTCCAGACCACAGCTGTTCACTCTACACCACAGCTGTTCACTCCACACTAAAGCTGTTCATTCTGCACCGCAGCTGTTCACTCCACACCGCAGCTGTTCACTCCACACCACAGCTGTTCACTCTACACCACTGCTGTTCACTCCGCACCACAGCTGTTCACTCTACACCACAGCTGTTCACTCTACACCACAGCTGTTCACTCTGCACCACAGCTGTTCACTCTACACCACAGCTGTTCACTCCACACCACAGCTGTTCAATCTACACCACAGCTGTTCACTCTACACCACAGCTGTTCAGACTGCACCACAGCTGTTCACTCTACACCACAGCTGTTCACTCCACACCACAGGTGTTCACTCTGCACCACAGCTGTTCACTCTGCACCACAACTGTTCACTATGTGCAGCTGTTCATTCCGCACCACAGCTGTTCACTCCGCGCCACAGCTGTTCACTCTGCACCACAGCTGCTCACTCTACACCACAGCTGCTCACTCTGCACCACAGCTGTTCACTCCACACCACAGCCGTTCACTCTACACCACAGCTGTTCACTCCGCACTACAACTGTTCACTCCACACCACAGCTGTTCACTCGACACCACAGCTGTTTACTCTACACCACAGCTGTTCACTCAACACCACAGCTGTTCACTCCACATCACAGCTGTTCACTCCACACCACAGCTGTTAACTCCACACCACAGCTGTTCACTCTACACCACAGCTGTTCACTCCGAACTACAGCTGTTCACTTTGCACCACAGCTGTTCACTCCACACCACAGCTGTTCACTCCACACCACAGCTGTTCACTCCACCCCACAGCTGTTCACTCCACACCACTGCTGTTCACTCTACACCACAGCTGTTCACTCCACACCACAGCTGTTCGTTCTGCATCAAAGATTCGCTCCACACCACAGCTGTTCACTCCACACCACACCTGTTCACTCTGCACCACAGATGTTCACTCTGCACCACAGCTGTTCACTCCACACCACAGCTGTTCACTCTGCACCACAGATGTTCACTCTGCACCACAGTTGTTCACTCCGCACGACAACTGTTCACTCTAGGCAGCTGTTCACTCCACACCACAGCTGTTCACTCCACACCACAGCTGTTCACTCTACAACATAGCTGTTCACTCTGCACCACAGCTGTTCACTCTGCACCACAGCTGTTCACTCTAGGCAGCTGTTCACTCCACACCACAGCTGTTCACTCGACACCAAGGCTGTTCACTCCACATCACAGCTGTTCACTCCACACCACTGCTGTTCACTCCACACCACAGCTGTTCACTCCGCACCACAGCTTTTCACTCTACAACACAGCTGTTCACTCTACACCACAGCTGTTCACTCTACACCACAGCTGTTCATTCTACACCACAGCTGTTCACTCTGCACCACAGCTGTTCACTCTAGGCAGCTGTTCACTCTACACCACAGCTGTTCTCTCGCCACCAAGGCTGTTCACTCCACATCACAGCTGTTCACTCCACACCACTGCTGTTCACTCCACACCACAGCTGTTCACTCCGCACCACAGCTTTTCACTCTACAACACAGCTGTTCACTCTACACCACAGCTGTTCTCTCTACACCACAGCTGTTCATTCTACACCACAGCTGTTCACTCTGCACCACAGCTGTTCACTCTGCACTACAGCTGTTCACTCCACACCACAGCTGTTCACTCCACACCACAGCTGTTCACTCCACACCACAGCTGTTCACTCTACACCACAGCTGTTCATTCCACACCACAGCTGTTCACTCCACACCACACAGAACATGGGGCTGATTCCACCGTTGGTTACTCTGCTCGGTCACCAGGAAAACACTAGCTGAGTCTCTCTCGGCCTCACTTGCACGACAGTCCTGCCAGGTTGTCACTGTGCATGCTTGTGTGCATGTGCGCGTGTGCATGTGTGCGTGTTTAACAGCAGAGGCCTCACTCCGAATCAGTCGAGCGGCAATCTCTTTTCATCGGTTGCGTAACGCTGGGTGGAAGCTGCCTGGTCTGTCGCTTCGCACGAAGCTTCAGGTCTTCTCGGCCACGGTCATTCCCTCCCTTCTCTACGCTTGTGAAATGTGGACCCCCCAAATGGAACATCTTCGCCGATTAGAAACATTTCGGCTAGCCTGCCTACGATCCATCCTGGGTTTAACCAGGCTGGATTGTGTGAGGAGCTCACAAATCCTTGAAAGATTTGGGCAAGGTCCCATCGGTGAGCTCCTCCAGCGGGCAAGGCTGCGATGACTGGGTCATGTAGCCCGCATGCCCAGCCACCGCATGCCGAAACAGCTTTTGTTCGGCTGGATCGAGGGGGCTAAATGGGCGTGGCATGGGCTAGAGAAAAGATGGAGTGATGTGGTAATGGAGGATGTGGAGCAGAGTGGACTTGCTGATGACTGGTACCAGCGGTGTCAAGATCGGCCTCTGTGGAGGAGGCTCGTGAAGAATGCTACTCCAACAACAAAGGAGGGAGGAGGAGCGAGGCTCACAACAATGAGCAGAGCGCCTGGTGGCTAAAGCACAGCAGGTTGGCACAGTAGGGGGCACAGGTGGTGCATCAGCCACTCATCTCAGTCAGTCGACCCGTGGCACCTGGGTCTGCCCCGTGACCTCCTGCCCGCGGGCGTTCGACACTTCACGTGGCCTCAAGGTGCACATGGCCTGGCACAAGCGTCGTGGTGACGTCACCGCCACTTAGTGGCGAATGGCGGTTGTTGTTGTTGTGTGTGCATGTGTGCGCGTGTGCGTGCGTGTGTGTGCGTGTCTGTGCGTGTGTGCATGTGTGCGCGTGCGACCCCAAGTGGTGTTGTTGGTACACGGTGTTGTTGTTACACGGTGTTGTTGTTACACGGTGTTGTTGGTACAGTGTTGTTGTTACACAGTGTTGTTGTTACACAGTGTTGTTGTTACACGGTGTTGTTGGTACACGGTGTTGTTGTTACACGGTGTTGTTGGTACAGTGTTGTTGTTACACAGTGTTGTTGTTACACAGTGTTGTTGGTACACAGTGTTGTTGGTACAGTGTTGTTGTTACACAGTGTTGTTGTTACACGGTGTTGTTGTTACACGGTGTTGTTGTTACACGGTGTTGTTGTTACACGGTGTTGTTGTTACACGGTGTTGTTGGTACACGGTGTTGTTGTTACACGGTGTTGTTGTTACACGGTGTTGTTGTTACACAGTGTTGTTGGTACACGGTGTTGTTGTTACACGGTGTTGTTGTTACACGGTGTTGTTGGTACACGGTGTTGTTGTTACATGGTGTTGTTGTTACACGGTGTTGTTGGTACACGTGTTGTTGGTACACGGTATTGTTGTTACACGGTGTTGTTGTTACACAGTGTTGTTGTTACACGGTGTTGTTGTTACACGGTGTTGTTGTTACACAGTGTTGTTGGTACAGTGTTGTTGTTACACGGTGTTGTTGGTACATGGTGTTGTTGTTACACAGTGTTGTTGTTACACAGTGTTGTTGTTACACGGTGTTGTTGGTACATGGTGTTGTTGTTACACAGTGTTGTTGTTACACAGTGTTGTTGGTACACGGTGTTGTTGGTACACGGTGTTGTTGTTACACAGTGTTGTTGGTACACGGTGTTGTTGTTACACGGTGTTGTTGTTACACGGTGTTGTTGTTACACGGTGTTGTTGTTACACGGTGTTGTTGGTACACAGTGTTGTTGTTACACGGTGTTGTTGTTACACGGTGTTGTTGTTACACGGTGTTGTTGGTACACGGTGTTGTTGGTACACGGTGTAGTTGTTACACGGTGTTGTTGGTACACGGTGTTGTTGGTACAGGGTGTTGTTGGTACACGGTATTGTTGTTACACGGTGTTGTTGTTACGGTGTTGTTGTTACACGGTGTTGTTGTTACGGTGTTGTTGGTACACGGTGTTGTTGGTACACGGTGTTGTTGGTACACGGTGTTGTTGTTACATGGTGTTGTCGTTACACGGTGTTGTCGTTACGCGGTGTTGTTGTTACACGGTGTTGTTGTTACACGGTGTTGTTGGTACACAGTATTGTTGTTACACGGTGTTGTTGTTACACGGTGTTGTTGTTACACGGTGTTGTTGTTACACGGTGTTGTTGTTACACAGTGTTGTTGGTACACAGTGTTGTTGTTACACGGTGTTGTTGTTACACGGTGTTGTTGTTACACGGTGTTGTTACACAGTGTTGTTGTTACACGGTGTTGTTGTTACACGGTGTTGTTGTTACACAGTGTTGTTGTTACACGGTGTTGTTGTTACACAGTGTTGTTGTTACACGGTGTTGTTGGTACACGGTGTTGTTGTTACACGGTGTTGTTGTTACACGGTGTTGTTGTTACACGGTGTTGTTGGTACACGGTGTTGTTGTTACACGGTGTTGTTGTTACACGGTGTTGTTGGTACACGGTGTTGTTGTTACACGGTGTTGTTGTTACACGGTGTTGTTGGTACACGGTGTTGTTGGTACACGGTGTTGTTGGTACACGGTGTTGTTGGTACACAGTGTTGTTGTTACACACGCCGTATTAACCAGGGCGGCCGCTGGAACCGAACCGCTTTGGTCTGAACTTCGAAGCGACGTTCACCGCTTCCGTTATTATTCCACGTCGTGTTGAGCAAACACCCATTGTTGTACTGTACTTCTACGCCTGCCGGGTCTGTGGTCCCCCACCCCCACCTTCACCTCACCCGTGGTTGACCTTCTGTCACACCGCCGCACGGAGCCGACCCTGCTAACCGGAGGTCTCCGCAAGGCGTGGGGAGACACCCGCCCTCTTACCCTACCTCATCCAGCAGTGGAGAGACAACGGGGCCTGGCGCGCACGGGTGCGAGTGGAAATCGGCGGGCGGGGGGGGGTGTTACTCACGGAGTTTCTGCACCACGGGGATGATGGTCTTGTCGAAGTTGAGGTAGTCCGCTTTGTAGCCGTCGAGAGACACCAGGATGAGCGGAGGCTTCGAGAAGCTGCCGAACGCACACGGGGAGGGGGCGGGGGAGTTGTTACCGAGGCCGCTGTCGCCCCTCGCATTTTCATCTTTGCCATTTTTGTTGTTGCTTGATGGGGTGGGAGTGTCTGTTTTGAGAAGCGTAGACACCCTGGCCCACCGTCTCCCCGTCAACGTTACGATTCCCCCGGATCGGTTTCAACATCACACACACCATGCCTGTCTCTCCCCTCTCACATCACTCTACTCTCCTCCACGCACTCTCCTGCCTCTCCCCTCTCACCTCACTCCACTCCCCTCCATGCACTCTCCTCTCCAGTGACCAAGGGTTTCTGTGGAATCCCCTAGTCACGCGATCACTCAGTGGTGGGAGGTCGCTCTTCTCTTCTGCTGCCCCCACAGTCTGGAACTCCCTTCTCCCAGACATCCGTGCTGTCGACTTCCTGCCCCTCTTCTCCTTTGCCTGGGTCCAACTGCCTCTCTCTCTCTCCCGCAGACTCAAACAGAGACCCATAGACTCACACAGAGACCCACATACTCACACAGAGACCCATAGATTCACACAGAGACCCACAGACTCACACAGAGACCCATAGACTCACACGGAGACCCACAGACTCACACCGACTCCCAGACTCACACAGAGACCCACAGACTCACACAGAGACCCATAGACTCACATAGAGACCCATAGACTCACACAATGACCCACAGACTCACACAGAGACCCATAGACTCACACGGAGGCCCACAGACTCACACAGAGACCCACATACTAACACAGAGACCTACAGACTAACACAGAGACCCATAGACTCACACAGAGACCTATAGACTCACACAGAGACCCGCAGACTCACACAGAGACCTGCAGACTCACACAGACCCACAGACTCACACAAAGACCCACAGACTCAAACAGTGACCCACAGACTCACACAGAGACCTACAGACTCACACAGAGACCCACAGACTCACACAGTGACCCACAGACTCACACAGTGACCCACAGACTCATGCAGAAACCCACAGACTCACACAGAGACCCACAGACTCAGACCGAGACCTACAGACTCACACAGTGACCCACAGACTCGCACAGAGACCCATAGACTCACACAGAGACCTATAGACTCACACAGTGACCCACAGACTCACACAGAGACCCATAGACTCACACAGAGACCCATAGACTAACACAGAGACCCACAGACTCACACAGAGACCTGCAGACTCACACAGAGACCTGCACTCACACAGAGACCCATAGACTCACACAGCGACCCACAGACTCACACAGAGACCCACAGACTCACACAGAGACCCATAGACTCACACAGAGACCCGCAGACTCACACAGAGACCCACAGACTCACACAGTGACCTACAGACACACACAGCGACCTATGACTGTCTAGAGATAAGCTCGCTCACTGCTCCTGTGCAGCGTCTAGAGAGGCGGCTGCGTTGGGGCTGCATCTGTGGGGACCCACAATGCCTCGGGCTGTATTCACGGCATGCAGCAACACTCACTCACCCTGGTGGACACTCACTCACCCTGTTGGACACTCACCATGGTGGACACTCACCATGGTGGACACTCACCCTGGTGGACACTCACCCTGGTGGACACTCTCTCACCCTGGTGGACACTCACCCTGGTGGACACTCACTCACCCTTGTGGACACTCACCCTGGTGGACACAACAACAACCGCCATTCGCAACTAAGTGGTGGTGACGTCACCATGACGCTTGTGCCAGGCCATGTGCACCTTGAGGCCACGTGAAGTGTCGAACGCCCGCTGGCAGGAGGTCACGGGGCAGACCCACGTGCCACGGGTCGACTGACTGAGATGACTGAGATGACTGAGATGACTGGCTGATGCACCACCTGTGCCCCCTGCTGTGCCAACCTGCCGTGCCTTAACCACCCGGCGCTCCGCTCGTTGTGAGCGTCGCTCCTCCGCCCTCCGTTGTTGTTGGAGGGCGACTACCTCGAACTGCCCAGCAGCGTCCTTCACGAGGCCGATCTTGACACCGCTGGTACCAGTCATCGGCAAGTCCACTCAGCTTCACGTCCTCCTGTACCACATCACTCCATCTCTTCTCTAGCCCGTCGATCCGGCCGAACAAAAGCTATTTCGGCACGCGGTGGCTGGGCATGCGGGCTACATGACCCAGCCATCGCAGCCTTGCCCGCCGGAGGAGCTCACCGATGGGACCTTGCCCAGATCTTTCAAGGATTTGTGAGCTCCTCACACAATCCAGTCTGGCTAAACCCAGGATGGATCGTAGGCAGGCCAGCCTAAATGTTTCTAACCAGCGAAGATGTTCCATTAGGGGGGTCCACGTTTCGCAAGCGTAGAGAAGGGAGGGAATGACCGTGGCCGAGAAGACCTGAAGCTTAGTGCGGAGCGACAGACCCGGTAGCTTCCACACAGCGTTACGCAACCGATGAAAAGATATTGCCGCTCGACTGATTCGGAGTGAGACCTCTGCTGTTAAACTGGAGCCGGTCATAAGCACACTGCCCAGGTATGGGAAACTCTCCACTCTCTCCACAACTGCCCCATCACCGATTGGGAGTTGTGGGGGTGGAGTCTCCGATGGTACAAAATACCCAGGCAGGTGCTTAGTTTTGGTGGGGCTGATGGTAAGGCCTCATCTCTTAGTGGCACTCTCCAGTCTCAGCAGCAGCGTCTCCAACTCCTCCTCTGAATGAGCAGCTATTACCAAATCATCAGCATACATAACGTGGTTGAGCAATAGGGAGCCATCCCTTGACCGCACCCGGGCATCGATCAGCCTCCCATTGTATCTGTACCACATGGAGATTCCCCCGGTACAGCTATTGAAGGCTTCACGAACTACCTGGTCAAAATAGATGTTAAATAATGTGGGAGCCAGAGGACATCCCTGTTGCACCCCAAGGTGTACAGGGAATGGCTCGGACTCCCGGCCACGTAGTTTTCCCCGGGCCTGCTCACCATCATGAAGGTCCTTAATGATCGTGAGCAGAGGGTCAGGTACTCCAAAAGCACGAAGAACAACCCAGAGCCCAGGCCTACTGATGGTTTCATAGGCCTTGACCAGGTCAATAAAGCAGAGATGTAGGTCTTACTGGAATTCCCTACACCTCTGCTGTAGCAGACGGACAGAAAATATGGCATCTGTGCAGGACCGCCCTTTCCTGAAACCGCATTGGGGCTCCGCAAGCCTCTCCTCAGCGTGCCTGGCAAGGCGATATTGAATAATCCTTGCCAGGACCTTTCCCGGCACACTGAGGAGTGAGATACCCCTGTAGTTGTTACAGTCTGTGCGGTCTCCCTTCTTAAAGAGGGGGACCACCAGGGTATCCTTCCAATCCTGCGGAACCCGTCCAGTGGTCCAGACTGTTGTTATGATGTCACATAGGGCAGTCTTTGCACAAACGCCACCCTCCCTCAGCATTTCACTTGGGAGATCATCTCTGCCCGCTGCCTTTCCTGGTCTCAGACTTCGGATCGCCTTCAGTACTTCCTCAACAGATGGCACTTCAGCCAGCCACTCACAGGGGGTGACTTCTTCCAATATTTGAGGCACCGCAGCCTCAGCAGGGTCATCCTCACTTTGTGCCACGATGTTTTCCTCGCTGAGGGATTTTCCCTCCCCCAGGACCTCACAGAAATGCTCAGCAAATCTGCAAACCTGTTCCTGGGAGTCGGAGATTGGATCACCGTTTTTTCCCCTAATGATGGTAATAGGTGTGGTGCTGCAGGTTACTTTTTGATGGAGTTAAATAGAGATTTGTGATCGTGGGCCACTGAGGCAGCCTCCATCTCCTCAGCAGCCCACGACCACCACCCATCCTTGCAGCGCCTCACGGCTCTCCGAACCTCCGAGCGAAGGCTGCGGTAAGCCTCCTCATTCTCTGACGTGGGGTTCTGTAGCCGATGACAGTGGGCCTGTCGCTTTTTCTCAACCATCCTGAACACCTCCTCTGTCAGCCAGGGTCTCTGGGGAGGTCTGGACTGCGTACCCAAAGCAGCCATTGCAGCTGCATGAGTTACAGTCCTGAACCTCGCCCATTTACCCTCGACATCAGGAGGAGTGGGGGACGATGCCAACCCCAGGCGCAGGTGATGATGAAATTCTCGCTTGCAACTTTCATCAGATAACTGAGACCAGGCCACTTTAGGTTGGAATGGGGTCCTGGGTGTACACCCACCACCGGAGCGGAAGAATGGCAGGCGCATCTTACAGATGACTAGTCGATGGTCAGAGGGCAGATCAGCTCCACGGTAGGTCCTGGTGTCAAGGACATGGGCTCGCATCCGCTGGTCCGTCACTATGTAGTCCAGCAGATGTTCTTGCTTGGACCCGGCATGCATCCATGATGTTGTGTGGATGCGCCAATGCCTGAACAGCGTGTACCATATGGAGATTTCTCACCCTGGTGGACACTCACTCACCCTGGTGGACACTCACCCTGGTGGACACTCACCCTGGTGGACACTCACCCAGGCAGAAACTCACTCACGCTGGTGGACACTCACCATGGTGGACACTCACCCTGGTGGACACTCACTCACCCTGGTGGACACTCACCCTGGTGGACACTCTGGCTCCGCGGTGTCGTCACACTGGTCGTCCACCCAGTGCTTCTCTCCTGTTCAAAACGACAGCAGCTCCAGCCGGTGACGACACCGCGCCTCTCTCTCACCGTCCCTCTAGTCCACCCCTCTAGTCCACCCCTCTACTCCACCCCTCTACTCCACCCCTCTACTCCACCCCTGTAGTCCACCCCTCTAGTCCACCCCTCTACTCCACCCTCTACCCCACCCCTCTAGTCCACCCCTCTACTCCACCCCTCTAGTCCACCCCTCTAGTCCATCCATCTACTCCACCCTCTACTCCACCCCTCTAGTCCACCCCTCTAGTTCACCCCTCTAGTCCACCCCTCTAGTTCACCTCTCTAGTCCACCCCTCTACTCCACCCTCTACTCCACCCCTCTAGTCCACCCCTCTAGTCCACCCCTCTAGTCCACCCCTCTACTCCACCCCTCTACTCCACCCTCTACTCCACCCTTCTAGTCCACCCCTCTAGTCCACCCCTCTAGTCCACCCTCTACTCCACCCCTCTACTCCACCCCTCTAGTCCACCCCTCTAGTCCATCCCTCTACTCCACCCTCTACTCCACCCCTCTAGTCCACCCCTCTAGTTCACCCCTCTAGTCCACCCCTCTAGTTCACCTCTCTAGTCCACCCCTCTACTCCACCCTCTACTCCACCCCTCTAGTCCACCCCTCTAGTCCACCCCTCTACTCCACCCCTCTACTCCACCCCTCTACTCCACCCTCTACTCCACCCTTCTAGTCCACCCCTCTAGTCCACCCCTCTAGTCCACCCTCTACTCCACCCCTCTAGCCCACCCCTCTACTCCACCCCTCTAGTCCACCCCTCTACTCCACCCCTCTAGTCCACCCCTCTACCCCACCCCACTACTCCACCCCTCTAGTCCACCCCTCTAGTCCACCCCTCTACTCCACCCCTCTAGTCCACCCCTCTAGTCCACCCCTCTAGTCCACCACTCTATCGTCAGCACGCTGCGCTGTGCTACAGAGCGCGGTGAACCGAGTTCAATTCCCGCTCACGGCCAACACCAGTGACGATGATCTGAACCGCTCCCGGGCCTCCCCCTGAGTACCTGCTGCAGTGTGTAAACATTGCCAGGCGAGTGATTTGCAGGTCATCTTTCAGCATGACCTGCGGCCGGGCGTGTGTAAACATCGCCGCTTAGGGAGACAAAGGCGGCCGGGCATGGATGATGGCCACCCACCCACCCCCCTCGTGTACCGTCATAGGTGCTGCTACTCGCCACTAACAGCACTTGCCTCAACAGTCTGTTACAGGCTACACGGGGAGGGATCTTTGTGATCCCAACTGGGTGGCGTGGAGGTGATCGTGGTTCTTTTTTCGGTTTTCGTGGGAGGCAAACCCATGCAGAACGGCGGGGGGGGAGAGGAGAGAGAACGCACGACCTCCACACAGAGTCGGGAATCGAACTCAGGCACCACCCTTGCTGCGAGTGTCACCACCACCACCAGTGGTGCCGTGACACGCAAAGCGAGCGCGTCGCGGAGAACCGCCGAGCGATGTCGCCGAGAGCTCGCTCGTCCGTCGTCCGTCGTCATCATCAGGCGTGGCGCGGGGTGGGGGGGGTGGCAGTCGAAGGGACGCACCTTTGCAGACGACGTTGTAGTTGGTGCAGCAGTCTCTGTGCTCGAGGCAGTCGTCCGCGCAGTTGCAGTACGTCTGGTTGGTGCGCTTCTCCCCACAGCGCGATTTGACGCAGTTCCACGCGTAGCCTGCACGAGCGAGCGGGGGAGTAGGGGAGTGAGCGAGGGAGCGGGGGAGCGAGCGGGGGAGCAGGGGAGCAGAGGAGCGGGAGAGTGAGTGGAGGAGCGAGAGGGGGAGCGAGAGGGGGAGCGAGAGGCGGAGCGAGAGGGGGAGCGAGAGGGGGAGCGAGAGGGGGAGCGAGAGGGGGAGCGAGCGGGGGAGCGAGTGAAGGAGTGAGCGAGGGAGCGAGAGGGGGAGCGAGCGGGGGAGCGAGTGAAGGAGTGAGCGAGGGAGCGAGAGGGGGAGCGAGAGGGGGAGCGAGCGTTGGAGCGAGAGGGGGAGTGAGCGGGGGAGCGAGTGAAGGAGCGAGCGAGGGAGCGAGAGGGGGAGCGAGCGGGGGAGCGAGTGAAGGAGTGAGCGAGGGAGCGGGGGAGCGAGCGGGGGAGCGAGCGGGGGAGCGAGTGAAGGAGTGAGCGAGGGAGTGAGCGAGGGAGCGAGCGGGGGAGCGAGCGGGGGAGCGAGAGGGGGAACGAGCGGGGGAGCGAGTGAAGGAGCGAGCGAGGGAGCGAGAGGGGGAGCGAGCGGGGGAGCGAGAGGGGGAGCGAGTGAAGGAGTGAGCAAGGGAGCGAGCGGGGGAGTGAGTGACGGAGCGAGCGGGGGAGTGAGCGGGGGAGCGAGAGAGGGAGCGAGAGAGGGAGCGAGAGGGGGAGCGAGCAGGGGAACGAGTGAAGGAGTGAGCGAGGGAGCGAGAGGAGAAGCGAGCGGGGGAGCGAGAGGGGGAGCGAGTGAAGGAGTGAGCGCGGGAGCGAGCGGGGGAGCGAGAGAGAGAGCGAGCGGGGGAGTGAGCGGGGGAGCGAGAGGGGGAGCGAGTGAAGGAGTGAGCGAGGGAGCGAGCGGGGGAGCGAGAGAGAGAGCGAGCGGGGGAGCGAGCGGGGAGCGAGAGGGGGAGCGAGTGAAGGAGTGAGCGAGGGAGCGAGCGGGAGAGCGAGCGGGGGAGCGAGAGAGAGAGCGAGCGGGGGAGCGAGCGGGGGAACGAGTGAAGGAGTGAGCGAGGGAGCGAGAGGAGGAACGAGCGAGGGAGCGACCGGGGTAGAGCGAGAGGGGGAGCGAGCGGGGGAGCGAGAGGGGGAGCGAGTGAAGAAGTGAGCGAGGGAGCGAGCGAGGGAGCGAGCGGGGGAGCGAGCGAGGGAGTGAGCGAGAGAGCGAGCGGGCGAGCGAGAGGGGGAGCAAGTAAAGGAGTGAGCGAGGGAGCGAGTGAGGGAGAGAGCGAGGGAGCGAGCGGGCGAGCGAGAGGGGGAGCAAGTAAAGGAGTGAGCGAGGGAGCGAGCGAGGGAGCAAGCGGGGGAGCGAGAGGGGGAGCAAGTAAAGGAGTGAGCGAGGGAGCGAGCGAGGGAGCGAGTGAAGGAGTGAGCGAGGGAGCAAGAGGGGGAGCGAGTGAAGGAGTGAGCGAGGGAGCGAGCGGGGGAGCGAGTGAAGGAGTGAGCGAGGGAGCAAGAGGGGGAGCGAGTGAAGGAGTGAGCGAGGGAGCGAGCGGGGGAGCGAGTGAAGGAGTGAGCGAGGGAGCGAGCGAGGGAGCGAGCGGGAGAGCGAGCGGGGGAGCGAGTGGGGGAGCGAGTGATGGAGCCCTACCGAGCACACAGCAGGGGGAGGCTCACACGCTCGCCGATTGGAAGTGATTCACAGCAGGGGTGAGTTTCTCAGAATGTCCTCCTGGTAGCAGATATGCTGGAGTAAGTGGCAGGTGACGAGTATTAGCCGCAGTGAGAGGTATCCTGGATGCAGTGTGCCGGGTGCAGCAATATTCACTGGTCGCTGGTGTAGATCCGAGAACTTATTTTGCGCCGTACGCAGCCAACCGTGCTCATCAAGAGGTGCGAGTGGCCGTGATGCACAAGCGGGTTTAGGGCAAAATCGGTACGGCTGAGAAGCCAAAGCAGCAGCAGCAGCAGGTCGTCGTCGTCGTCGTGAGACGGGATGAGAGAAAGCGTGCGTGGTGTGTGGTGTTCGTGTGCGGCATGGTGTGTGTGTGTGCGGCACGGGGTGTGTGTGATGTGTGTGTGTGCGGCACGGTGTGTGTGTGTGCGGCACGGTGTGTGTGTGCAGCACGTTGTGTGTGTGCGGCATGTTGTGTGTGTGCGGTGTGTGTACGGCAGGGTGTGTGTGTGTACGGCAGGGTGTGTGTGTGTGTGTGTACGGCACGGTATGTTTGTGTGTGTGCGGAACAGGTGTGTGTGTGTGGTGGGGCAGTTGTGGAGAGAGTGGAGAGTTTCCCATACCTGGGCAGTGTGCTTATGACCGGCTCCAGTTTAACAGCAGAGGTCTCACTCCGAATCAGTCGAGCGGCAATATCTTTTGATCGGTTGCGTAACACTGAGTGGAAGCTACCTGGTCTGTCGCTCCGCACTAAGCTTCAGGTCTTCTCGGCCACGGTCATTCCCTCCCTTCTCTACGCTTGCGAAACGTGGACCCCCCTAATGGAACATCTTCGCCGGTTAGAAACATTTAGGCTGGCCTGCCTACGATCCATCCTGGGTTTAACCAGACTGGATTGTGTGAGGAGCTCACAAATCCTTGAAAGATCTGGGCAAGGTCCCATCGGTGAGCTCCTCCGGCGGGCAAGGCTGCGATGGCTGGGTCATGTAGCCCGCATGCCCAGCCACCACATGCCGAAACAGCTTTTGTTCGGCCGGATCGAGGGGGCTAAACGGGCGCAGCACGGGTTAGAGAAGATATGGAGTTGATGCGGTATGGGAGGACGTGGAGCTGAGTGGACTTGCCGATGACTGGTACCAGCGGTGTCAAGATCGGTCTCTATGGAGGAGGCTCGCGACGGACGCTACTGGGCAGTTGGAGGCAGTCGCCCTCCAACAACAACGGAGGGCGGAGGAGCGACGCTCACAACAACGAGCGGAGCGCCGGGTGGCTAAATCACAGCAGGTTGGCACAGTAGGGGGCACAGGTGGTGCACCAGCCAGTCATCTCAGTCATCTCAGTCAGTCGACCCGTGGCACCTGGGTCTGCCCCGTGACCTCCTGCCAGCGGGCGTTCGACACTCCACGTGGCCTCAAGGTGCACATGTCCTGGCACAAGCGTCGTGGTGACGTCACCGCCACTTAGTGGCGAATGGCGGTTGTTGTTGTACGTGTGTGGTGTGTGTACGGCAGGGTGTGTGTGTGTATGTGCGGCACGGTGTGTGTGTGTGCGGCACGGTGTGTTTGTGTGTGCGGCACGGTGTATGTGTGGTGTGTGGGCGGCACGGTGTGTGTGTGTGTGCGGCACGGTGTGTGTTTGTGTGTGTGCGGCACGGTGTGTGTGTGTGTGCGGCACGGTGTGTGTGTGTGTGTGTGCGGCACGGTGTGTGTGTGTGTGTGTGCGGCACGGTGTGTGTGTGTGTGTGTGCGGCACGGTGTGTGTGTGTGTGTGTGCGGCACGGTGTGCGCGTGCGGTGCGGCAGAGGACCTGGCTGGATGCACAGCTCGTTGAAGTCGGCGCAGCACGTGTTGTAGGCGATGCAGAGCGCGTCGCAGCTGCACGCGTCCTCGGCGCTGGGGGTCACCTCGAAGCAGCGCTCCCTGCACGAGGAGGCCGACCCTGGGCCCACACGCGGCCCACACGCAGCGCCGTCAGTACGCGGTGGCCACCGCCACCGCCACCACTCTACTGCCCCCGCTTGTAGGCCGTGCCCTTGGCAGGTTTTTAGTCGTCAAGGGCAGCCCTGCGGCCACTCACCGCAGCGGGTTCGCGTTCCCACCCATGGTGACCGACCCCCCCTGGTTAATACTGCGCCCGCCTTTGTCTTCCCAGTGACGATGTTGACTATCCATCGCACCAGCTACTCGTTTGAGGCTCAGTCGACCTAGCGGAGGCCCAGGACCGGTTCAGAGAATCGTCACCGGGCGTCTAAAGATCTCGGCGAATGTCGTTTGCAAGGGTCGGCGACCGTGAGCCACTGGCCTCAGCGGTCACAACATGTGCCCGAATCGAAGAATTGCTCCGCCAACGACTCAGGTGGGATGAAAGATAAAATATCCCTCCCCCCGTGTAGCCTCCAACGGACTGTAGGGGCAAGTGCTGTTAGCGAGCACACGAGCGGGTGGGTGGCCCGCACCACGCCCGGCCACCTTTGTCTCCCCAGTGGCGATGTTTAGGACACACCACACCAGGACCAATTCAGATAATCGTCAGAAGTGTTGGTGGCCGTGAGCGAGCATCATAACTTGGGTCAGCTTCCACTGGGGGTACCCCTCGCATGCAGTGGACGCCCATCACTGTTATATGCAAATGCCATGCTCGCGTTGAGGATGGTTAACGTGGTTACCATGCGAGGTATAAGGTTGGTAACCGCGGTTACTATGGGAGGGGTAAGGGTGGTTACCGTGGTTACCGTGGGAGGGGTAAGGGTGGTTACCGTGGTTACTGTGGGAGGCGTAAGGGTGGTTACCGTGGTTACTGTGGGAGGGGTAAGGGTGGTTACCGTGGTTACTGTGGGAGGCATAAGGGTGGTTACCGTGGTTACTGTGGGAGGGGTAAGGGTGGTTACCGTGGTTACTGTGGGAGGGGTAAGGGTGGTTGTTGCGGTTGCCATGGTTACCCTGGGAGCGGTTGAGGACGCTGGGGAGGCTCATTCCGCTCGCGACGCCGGTCCAGAGCGCAGCCACCTGTGTACAGTACACGTACAGTGCGAGTACAGTACACATACAGTGAGTACAGTGCGGGTGCGTGTACAGTACGTGCGTGTAAAGTGCGCAACGGTTCGCGCGGTGCGTACAGTACAGATACAGTACACTACCGGTACACACATCACATGCACGTGTAGTGGAATAAATCGGCGGATGGGGGGTAATTGGTGAATCTGCGCGGGAACAGGACAGTAGGGGGTCATATTGGGACGATGAGGTAACGATTGGGCCAATTAAGCTGAGGGGGAGCCAGGGACGGCTGTGATTGGCTGGTGTTGCTGTCAGGGCTGGAGTGTGATTGGCTGGTGTGGTTGTCAGGGCTGAAGTGTGATTGGCTGGTGTTGTTGTCAGGGCTGAGGTGTGATTGGCCGGTGTTGTTGTCAGGACTGGAGTGTGATTGGCTGGTGTGGTTGTCAGGGCTGGAGTGTGATTGGCTGGTGTTGTTGTCAGGGCTGAGGTGTGATTGGCTGGTGTGGTTGTCAGGGCTGGAGTGTGATTGGCTGATGTTGTTGTCAGGGCTGAGGTGTGATTGGCCTGTGTTGTTGTCAGGGCTGGAGTGTGATTGGCTGGTGTGGTTGTCAGGGCTGGAGTGTGATTGGCTGGTGTGATTGTCAGGGCTGGAGTGTGATTGGCTGGTGTTGTTGTCAGGGCTGGAGTGTGATTGGCTGGTGTTGTTGTCAGGGCTGAGGTGTGATTGGCTGGTGTGGTTGTCAGGGCTGGAGTGTGATTGGCTGGTGTGGTTGTCAGGTCTGGAGTGTGATTGGCTGTGTGGTTGTCAGGGCTGGAGTGTGATTGGCTGGTGTTGTTGTCAGGGCTGGAGTGTGATTGGCTGGTGTTGTTGTCAGGGCTGAGGTGTGATTGGCTGGTGTGGTTGTCAGGGCTGGAGTGTGATTGGCTGGTGTGGTTGTCAGGGCTGAGGTGTGATTGGCTGGTGTGGTTGTCAGGGCTGGAGTGTGATTGGCTGGTGTGGTTGTCAGGGCTGGAGTGTGATTGGCTGGTGTGGTTGTCAGGGCTGAGGTGTGATTGGCTGGTGTGGTTGTCAGGGCTGGAGTGTGATTGGCTGGTGTTGTTGTCAGGGCTGAGGTGTGATTGGCTGGTGTTGTTGTCAGGGCTGGAGTGTGATTGGCTGGTGTGGTTGTCAGGGCTGTAGTGTGATTGGCTGGTGTTGTTGTCAGGGCTGGAGTGGCGTCTTGAAGTCTGACGAGGTCACAGGCGCACGGGCACGCGGAGCGGCGTTGGGACTGCGGATTAATTAGTTGGGGTGTGATGAGAGCGGGGATACATTGGGGGAGACGTGAGGAGAAACGGGGGGTTGGAGTCGGGGGCTGGACGAGGCAAGACGTGGAGGAGCTGAAGAGACGAAGCAGTTAGCAGTGGAGAAAGCACGGTGATAGCGGAGAGCAGAGACGAAGCAGCCAGCAGTAGAGAGAGCATGGTGATAGCGGAGAGCGGAGAACAGAGACGAAGCAGTTAGTGGAGAGAGCACGGTGATAGCGGAGAGCAGAGACGAAGCAGTTAGCAGTGGAGAGAGCACGGTGATAGCGAAGAGCGGAGAACAGAGACGAAGCAGTTAGCAGTAGAGAGAGCATAGTGATAGCGGAGAGCGGGGATGAAGCAGTTAGCAGTGGAGAGAGCATGGTGATAGCGGAGAGCAGAGACGAAGCAGTTAGCAGTGGAGAGAGCACAGTGATAGTGAAGAGCGGAGAACAGAGACGAAGCAGTTAGCAGTGGAGAGAGCATAGTGATAGCGGAGAGCGGGGATGAAGCAGTTAGCAGTGGAGAGAGCATGGTGATAGCGGAGAGCGAAGAGCAGAGACGAAGCAGCCAGCAGTGGAGAGAGCACAGAGACATCGGAGCTGACGGAGAAGTGGAGATTGGAGAGACAAAGGCGGCGAGCGAGTCGAGTGAGGCACGGCGAGCGAGCTGTGGCAACAAGGGAACTGTGGAGCACAGAGGACGTGTGGAGAACTGTAAATAAAGTGGTGCTGGAAGAATGACAAAAGTTGTCCGAGTGAAATCAACCACTACGAACACGCACCACACGACACAGCACATCACATACACAGCACACATCACATACACACAGCACACCACACATCACATACACAAAGCACACATAACATACACACAGCACACCACACATACATACACACATCACATACACACAGCACACATAACATATATACAGCACACATCACATACACACAGACATCACATACAACACAGCACATCACATACACACAACACATCACATACAACACATCACACATCACATACATCACATACACAGCACATCACATACACACAACACATCACATACACACAACACATCACATACACACAGCACACAGCACATACACACAGCACACATCACATACACAACACATCACATACACAACACATCACATACACACAACATCACATACACACAACACATCACATACACACATCACATACACACAACACATACAACACACACAACACATCACATACTACACAGCACATCACATACACAACACATCACATACACATATCACATACACACAACACAACACATACAACACATACACACAACACAACACATCACATACTACACAGCACATCACACACACAACACATCACACACAACACATACACACAACACATACACACAACACATACAACACATACAGCACATCACATACACACATCACATACACACAACATCACATACTACACAGCACATCACATACACACAACACATCACGTACACACAACATCACATACACACATCACATACACACAACACATCACATACTACACAGCACATCACATACACACATCACATACACACAGCACATCACATACACACAACACATCACATACACACAACACATACTACACAGCACATCACATACACACATCACATACACACAGCACATCACATACACACAACACATACTACACAGCACATCACATACACACATCACATACACACAACACATCACATACTACACAGCACATCACATACACACAACACATATACAAAGACCCCCCCCCCCCCCCGTATAGCCTTAACAGACTGTAGGGTCAAGTGCCTTTTAGCGAGCACCTATGAAGGCTGGCATGGCACACTAGGGGGTGGATTGCCAGAACCACGCCCGGCCGTCTTTGTCTCTCCAGTGGCGTTGTTTTCTACACACCGCATGGGTACTCATTTGAGGCTGAGTCGCCCTAGGGGAGGCCCAGGACCAATTCAGATCATCGTCACTGGTGTTGGCCGTGAGCGGGAATCGAACTCGGGTGGTCGGGGGTCGTAGCGAAGTGCGCTAGCCACTCCCACTACCAACAGCGCACATCACACACAGCACGCATCACACCAAACACAGCACACACAGCACATAGTACACAGCAACACACAGCACGCATCACACCAAATACACAGCACACACATCACACAGTACAAACCACACACCACACAACACACAGCACGCATCACACCAAATACACAGCACACACATCACACAGTACAAACCACACATCACACAGCACGCATCACACCAATCACACAGCACACACATCACACAGTACAAACCACACATCACACACAGCACGCATCACACCAAACACACAGCACACACAGCACATAGTACACAGCACACACAGCACGCATCACACCAAACACACCACGCATCACACCAAACACACAGCACACACAGCACACACAGCACACAGTACAAACCACACATCACACAGCACGCATCACACCAAACACACAGCACACACAGCACACAGTACAAACCACACATCACACACCACACAGCACACATTACACCGCACACCAAACACACAGCACACATCACATAGTCCAAACCACACATCACACCGCACACACCGCACACACAGCACACACAGCACATAGTACACACCACACATCACAGTGCACACCACACACACAGCACACACATCACACCAAACACACATCACATAGTACACACCACACATCACACCACACACACAGCATACCGCACACATAGCACACCAAACACCGCACACACATCACACCAAACACACATCAAACTCAGCACACACACACATCACATAGTATACACCACGCAGCACACATCACATACACACAGCAAACCACACAGCACATCGCATACTGCACACAACTGGCATCGGCTTTACACTGGCGATCATTTGAGTCTGAGACACGAGTGTGAGTGTGGATACTCCGTAAGTCCATGGCTCTCTGTGTAAGTCCATGATTCTGTCATTCCATGGTTCTCTGTGTAAGTCCATGGTTCTCTATGTAATGTTATGGTTCTCTGTGTAAGTCCATGGTTCTCAGTGTACGCCTAAGGTTCGCTGTGCAAGTCTATGAATCTTCATGCGAGTCGTATTAAACCGTGCACAGCAGAGTAACGCTACCGCCCACCGCGACCATTCGCCTATGGGCTCTGTTGTGGGTCTCGAAGCGGTGTCTCTGTGTAAGTCTGTGAATCATCTGCGCTAGTCTCTACCACAAGCCGTGGATCCATCGACACACAGCGTCTCAGATATCCCAATAATGCCACGTGCTCGCTCGCAGGCGCGCTCACTCAGCAAGTACCCCGACATGTCGACATGAAATGCTGCCGATCAACTCTCCAGCGCTGAGAATGTGGCCCCAACATCTCAAACGTTGCGTTTGACGGCATGACAAGACCATGGTGTCACACGGGCGCCGCGGTGGCTAGGGGAATGTTAACTACCTCGCTTGGTATGCAGGAGGTCGTGGGTTCGATATCCCGACCCTGACCCCTGCTGCTGCTGCTGTATATTTGGAGTTTGCGGTGTCTCTCTCTCCCCATGGTTGCGTGGATTTGTCTCCGGGCCCTCTGGCTTTCCCCCTCCACATTTAGTATCGACATGACGCGTTTTTAGAGTATTTTGCTCCTGTTATAAATGTCCACGCGATGATGATGATGAGTAAGCCCACTTCGTTGAGCTATCATCTGTGATAGCCAGGATCGCATATTCAGACGCTCAGCGGGGACTTAGCTGGTCAAATAAAAACGCGAGTTGTAATTTAGGTTTGAGAGAACACGATGGGAGCCATGCTTGTTGACCCAGGAAAGCCTCACTGAGTCTCGCGACTTGGTGATGTTATTCAGGAGGGTCCTGCCAGGCTCTGGCAGCAGTACGGAGCGATGTTGCTGCTACCGCTGCTGCTGTGGGATCCCAATCGAGTGATGTGCAGGTGACGTTTCAACAATTGGAATGGTCGGTTGGTGAACACCACGCTGTTGCGTTCTGTGTGTGTGTGCCGCTTTGGCTCGAACACCAAAGTCAGCAACTACAAACTAAACATTGTTTTTTATTTTACCAGGCAAGGCCCCACTGAGCGATGTGGCCATCTTTGGCTATCACAGATGATAGCCCAACGAAGTGGCTTATCATCATTATCGCGTGGGAAGTTAGAGCAGCAGTCAAAAATACTCTGAAGGTGTGTTTCTAAATGTGAAGGGAAAATCCGGAGGACCCGGAGAAAAATCCACGCGACCACAGGGAGAAAGAGAGAGAGAGACACGCAAACTCTAAATATACAGCAGCAGCAGGCATTGTCAGGGTCGGGATATCGAACCCACGACCTCCTGCACACCGGTCGAGGGAGTTAACATCTCCTAGCCAACGTGGCGACGACACCAGCTCTTGTGAATCGTGCAGCCCGGGGTGGCTGCGGTCCCCGTTAACCGGTTACGACAGAACCCGTTAACCGGTTGCTACGGACACCACGGCGTTATCCACGTCTGTGAACGCACGGAACACGACGGGAGCGGTGGCGCAGTGGTTAGCGCATAGCGCCACAGTGCGCCCGGGGCGAGGGGACGTCAGTGACGAGTGATTTGTGATCCGCAAACTGCGGCCTTTCCCCTTCACCCCGTCCACCCCGAAACATTCACCAACCCGCACTGACCGGCGTGGCGAAGTATGGCCAAACGATCAACCGTGTCGACGAGAAGACGACTCGCGGCCGTCAATTCGGCAGCGGAGTGACATGGGTAGGACTAGAGATGGGTTTTACAAAGCCACACACGAATTAAATCAAGCCCTTCAGTGCAAACTCAATAGGCGCCCCCGAAGAACCGTCTTTGTTGAAGATCAGTCGCCACACAAAAGGCATTAATCATGAACGTCTTTCGCTCACTAATCCTCCCGCGGATTAGACCATTTAAACACCCCCCACACACACACACACAACGATAACAAAGATCCCCCGTGTAGCTTTAACAGACTGTTGGGGCAAGTGCTGTTAGCGAGCACCCTATGAAGGCAGGAACGGTACACGATGGGATGGGTGGCCAGCACCACGCCCGACCGCCTTTGTCTCCACCAGTGGCGATGTTTACTACACACCACACCAGGTGCTCACTTGAGGCTGAGTCGACCTAGGGGCGGCCCAGGACCGGTTCAAATAATCGTCACCGGTGTTGACCGTAAGCGGGAATCGAACTCGGGTTGCGGGGTTCATAGCGCGGCGTAGCGCTAACCACTACACTACCGCTCCCCGCACACACACACACATCAGACTTAAGTACACACACACACACGTGGCGCAATTAACTTTTGTAAATTGAACTCGCGGATTAGTTAAGGTCCGTCCGGATGATGCGGGCCCCGGTCTCGTTCCCCGTTACCGAACGCAGCGAGACCCACGTCGAGTGCAATCGTAGAAGCTCTCGTCGTAGAAGCTCTCGCTTTTACGACGCTTTAACGAGCTCATTGCAGTCGCATGCCACCCACACTCAAGCCTTACCGGCGACCCGGGGAGGGAAACTAAATCATATTTCGCCGCCCGGCACACCACATGTTTCGCCGTATATCTCTCGCCTGTGCTCGTGTCAGCCCGTGCCAAATCCACTGCCCGATGCCGCACTCAATGCTCGTGGACTGCGACCAGGATGCCGTGGAGCGATGCGAGCGAGGATCGCGATAGTCGTGCTTGTTGGTGGTGCCGGCAGTGAGCGAGTGGATTGTACGTTGCATTTACCTGTAGGATCACGCTCACCATCCCCATGACGGCAGCTCCCTCTCTCTCTCTCTCCTCGTGCGCTTGTTCGAAGTCGCCTCTTCGCTGAGCGGGCGGCTGGGTGCCCGGGGGTGGGGTGATGACCCAGGAGCGAGGGAGTGAGTCACAGCGGCCGGTTCAATATTTCACGTCGCCACGAAAAATATCAGCGACCGTGGAGACGGACGGAGATAGACGCGTGGCAACGTGGCTTGTACTGGATTCAGCCACCCGCCCACACGACTACCCACACACACACTCAGCTACCCACCCACACTCCTACCCACACACACCCTCACTCAGACACCCACACACACGACTACCCACACACTCACTCAGCTACCCACCCACACTACTACCCACACACTCACTCAGCTACCCACCCACACTACTACCCACACACACACTCAGCTACCTACCTACACGACTACCCACACACACACTCAGCTACCCACACACACGACTATCCACACACACACTCAGCTACCCACCCACACACTCACTCAGCCACCCGCCCACACGACTACCCACACATACACTCAGCTACCCACCCACACTACTACCCACACACACTCAGCTACCCACACACACGACTACCCACACACTCACTCAGCTACCCACCCACACTACTACCCACACACACACTCAGCTACCTACCCACACGACTACCCACACACACACTCAGCTACCCACACGACTACCCACACACTCACTCAGCCACCCACCCACACGACTACCCACACACACACACTCAGCTACCTACCCACACGACTACCCACACACTCACTCAGCCACCCACACGACTACCCACACACACTCACTCAGCTACCCACACGACTACCCACACACACACTCAGCCACCCACCCACACGACTACCCACACACACTCAGCTACCCACACTTCTACCCACACACTCACTCAGCTACCCACACGACTACCCACACACACTCACTCAGCCACCCACCCACACGACTACCCACACACACTCAGCTACCTACCCACACGACTACACACTCACTCACTCAGCCACCCACACGCCTACCCACACACACACTCAGCCACCCACCTACACGACTACCCACACACACTCAGCCACCCACACACACGACTACCCACACACACTCAGCTACCCACACACACTCAGCTACCCACACACACTCAGCTACCCACACACACTACTACCCACACACACACTCAGCCATCCACCCACACACTCACTCGGTCACCCACACGACTACCCTCTCACTAACACACTCGGTCATCCACACGACTACCCACACTCTCACTCACCCACCCACACGACTACTCACACTCTCTGTCACCCACCCACACGACTACCCACACACACACTCAGCCACCCACCCACACGACTACCCACACACACACTCAGCCACCCACCCACACGACTACCCACCCACACACACTCAGCCACCCACACACACTCAGCTACTCACTCCTCCCTCACTCACTCACAGCTCCTGTCACGCCACACACAGCGCTCTCTTACAGCAGCCACGCACTCACCCCTGAGGCACCCCCCGCACCACCTCCCTCCCTCTCCCACCCACAGAGCTGCTCGAACCCACGGCACACGCAGGCAGCGAGAGGTCAGAGACAGAGAGAGGTCAGAGACAGAGAGAGACACACACACCGGTGAGACAGAGAGAGAGCCAGTGGCGAGAGAGACAGCGAGACAGAGAGACAGAGGCGAGAGAGACAGCGAGACATAGAGACTTGACAGAGACAGCGAGACAGAGAGACAGAGACAGAGGCGAGAGAGACAGGGAGACAGAGAGACTTAACAGAGACAGCGAGACAGAGAGAGAGAGACAGAGGCGAGAGAGACAGGGAGACAGATATACTTAACAGAGACAGCGAGACAGAGACAGAGAGACAGAGGCGAGAGAGACAGGGAGACAGAGAGACTTAACAGAGACAGCGAGACAGAGAGACAGAGACAGAGGCGAGAGAGACAGGGAGACAGAGAGACTTGACAGAGACAGCGCGACAGAGAGACAGAGACAGAGGCGAGAGAGACAGGGAGACAGATATACTTAACAGAGACAGCGAGACAGAGAGAGAGACAGAGGCGAGAGAGACAGGGAGACAGAGAGACTTAACAGAGACAGCGAGACAGAGAGACAGAGACAGAGGCGAGAGAGACAGAGAGACTTAACAGAGACAGCGAGACAGAGACAGAGGCGAGAGAGACAGAGAGACTTAACAGAGACAGCGAGACAGAGGCAAGAGAGACAGGGAGACAGAGAGACTTGACAGAGACAGCGCGACAGAGAGACAGAGACAGAGGCGAGAGAGACAGGGAGACAGAGAGACTTAACAGAGACAGCGAGACAGAGACAGAGGCGAGAGAGACAGGGAGACAGAGAGACTTAACAGAGACAGCGAGACAGAGAGACAGAGACAGAGGCGAGAGAGACAGGGAGACAGAGAGACTTAACAGAGACAGCGAGACAGAGAGACAGAGACAGAGGCGAGAGAGACAGGGAGACAGAGAGACTTGACAGAGACAGCGCGACAGAGAGACAGAGACAGAGGCGAGAGAGACAGGGAGACAGAGAGACTTAACAGAGACAGCGAGACAGAGAGACAGAGACAGAGGCGAGAGAGACAGGGAGACAGAGAGACTTAACAGAGACAGCGAGACAGAGAGACAGAGACGAGAGTGTTCGTGCGGAGCCGCGAGCCCTCGGCTTTTACTGTCACCATCAGAGAGAGGAAAGTAAAAAAAAACATCCGTGAAGAATAAGAATAATAATAAAATAATTCCACCACCACCCCCCTCCACCTTTCTCCTCTGCTGCGGTTCCTAAATTTCCCTCCCAGTTTCCTCTTTCGAGGGGGGTCGAGGATTGGGAGGGGCACCACCACCACCTACGGGGTGCGCAGAGGGGGAGGTGGGTCCCAACACGTGGCTCTCATTTCAGCGAGAGGACCTCACCACCACCTCCTCCTCCTCTTCTCCTCCTCCTCTCCCACCCGGCACCCCCTACGCCCCCCCCCCCTCTCTTCTCCGTGGGGTGGTGGTGGTGGGGAGGGGGGTCTCTGTGGCCAGCAGTAAGCAGTGCACCACCACCACTACACGGAGCAACCCACCGAGCCGGGGTGCCCGCCCGCTGCAGCTGTGCCCACTGCCCTCCCTCCGCTCTCCGGCACCGCGCCACCCACTTCGCGTCGTGGATTTTGCCGTCCGCAAACTTCTCCCGGGCGATAGTTCACAAACAACGCTGCTCCCAGCCCGCGTGGGTCGCGTTCAGCGCACGCACAGAGACAAGAGACGCAAGGATCCCTGCCGCCCTCGCCGCGGCCCCCGTGTAGCCTGTCACGGACTGTCGGGGGCAAGTGCTGTGAGTGAGGGGCAAGTGCTGTGAGTGAGGGGCAAGTGCTGTGAGTGAGGGGCAAGTGCTGTGAGTGAGGGACAAGTGCTGTGAGTGAGGGGCAAGTGCTGTGAGTGGCGAGTGTCGCCAATGTAGGGACACGAGGGGGTGGTTCAATACCACGGCCGCCCGCCTACCGTTTGGCACAGACACACACACACAGACACACACAGACACAACAACAACCACCATTCACCACTAAGTGGCGGTGACGTCACCACGACGCTTGTGCCAGGCCATGTGCACCTTGAGGCCACGTGGAGTGTCGAACGCCCGCTGGCAGGAGGTCACGGGGCAGACCCAGGTGCAGAGACAGGGAGACAGAGAGACTTGACAGAGACAAGTCGACTGACTGAGATGACTGGCTGATGCACCACCTGTGCCCCCTACTGTGCCAACCTGCTGTGCTTTAGCCACCCGGCGCTCCGCTCGTTGTTGTGAACGTCACAGACACACACACACACAGACATACACACACACAGACATACACACACAGACATACACACAGACATACACAGACACACAGACGCACACAGAAACGCGCACACAGACTCTCACATAGACTCTCACACACACACAGACACACACACAGACTCTCACACACACACACAGACACACACACAGACTCTCACAGACTCTCACACACACACAGACCCTCACACAGACTCACATACACAGACACACACAGACTCTCACACAGACTCTCACACACACACAGACACACACACAGACTCTCACACACAGACACACACAGACTCTCACACACACACACAGACACACACACAGACTCTCACAGACTCTCACACACACACAGACCCTCACACAGACTCACATACACAGACACACACAGACTCTCACACAGACTCTCACACACACACAGACACACACACAGACTCTCACACACAGACACACACAGACTCTCACACAGAGCCTCTCACACAGACTCACACATACAGACACACACACAGACTCTCACACACACACAGACTCACACACACAGACTCTCACACAGACACGCGCACACAGACTCTCACACAGACTCTCACACACACACAGACTCACACAGACTCTCACACAGACTCACACAGACTCTCACACACACACAGACTCACACAGACACTCACACAGACTCTCACACAGACTCACACACACAGACTCACACACAGACTCACACACACAGACACACACACAGACTCTCACACAGACTCTCACACACACACAGACTCTCACACAGACTCACACACACAGACACACACACAGACACTCACACACGCACACAGCCACGCTCACAAGCGCGCACTCTCTCTCACACACACACGAAACCCAGACGCCTGTGTATATATAGGTTACATCCACAGTGCCACACTCAACAAACAATAACAAAGACCGCCCCGTGGAGCCGTAACAGATTGTAGAGGCAAGTGCTCCCTGCGAGCACCTACGTAGGCCAGCACGGTACACGAGGGCGTGGGTGGCCAGCACCACGCCCGACCGCTTTTGTCTCCCCAGGGACGATTGTTTACACACCGCACCAGGTACTCATTTGAGGCCGAGTCGACCTAGGGGAGGCACAGGACCGGTTCAGACAATGGTCACCGATGTTGGCCGTGAGCGGGAATCGAACTCGGGTCGCCGGGGTGCGTAGCGGCAGTGTCCCTAACCACTGCGCCACCGCTCCCCCCCCCCCCCCGACACAAAGACTAAGATCCCCCGTGTAGCCCTACAGAGTGCTGGGGCAAGTGGAGTTAGCGGGCTGGCACTGTGGCACACGAGGGGGTTGGGTGGACAGCAAAGACGCCCGTCCGCCTTTGTCTCCGGACTGAGTCACACACTCGAGGCCGAGTCGATCAAGTGGCAGTCCCTGGACCGGTTCAACTATACTGTACGCCACTGATGTTAGCCG